TTCATAAAGATATTTTCTTTATTTAATATTTGCATATAAACTTTTATTTTCTTTTTTTAAATTATTTATTCGTTCTTTCATTTATTTAATTTATACTTCAGATTAACTTTTTAAACTTTCGGTTTGAACTTTAAATGCTTTATAATCTAATTCATTATTTTTAAAAATTTCAATTTACTAAAAAAGTTATTCAATCTAAAAAAAAATAAAAAAATAAAAAAATAAAAAAAAATTACTTATTAATTTAACTAATAAATATCTTTTTTATATTTAATATCTTAATTATTAATTAAATTATTTTTTTCATTTAATTATTATTAAATAGTTTGATTTTCGAAAGTTAATTTAGAATTAATTTCTTAAAGTTTTTCGATTTATTCTTAAATAACCGAAGTTTTAATAGTATATTGACATTCTTTACTTACTTCTTATGTATTTTAAAACTTTAATTATTCTTGATTTTATAGAGAATTTAAAATTTAATTAACTTTTTCTTTAAAAACATATATATACTCATTTTAATATTATTAACATTATTTACAATAATCATTTTATGTTAAATTGATTTAATCTTATAAATTTTGAAAAGTATTTATTTATTATTTTTGAAAAATATATATTTTTTTATTTGAATTTTCATTTATTTTATTTCTTTCATTTTCTAATTATTAATTTTTTTAACTCAAAATTTATATTTAATTTTGTGATTAAATTAATTATTCATTTATATTATTTAGTTTTTATAAAATTCTATCTTTCTCCTGCTTTAATGATTCTATTTATTTATTAAATTCAGTATTTATTATTTACTTTACTTATTATTCAGCTTATTATCGTACTTCGATTAATCCTTATTTATATTCGTTCTCTTTTTATAAAATCTATAGTTTTAAGTATTTACATTCTTAATCTTTTTGTTTCATTTTTTTATTCAAGATTTTATATTCTATTTAAAAAAAATTAAAATTTTCATCTTTTTTTTTTTTATAATATATCTAAAATAAATAAACCTTATTCTTAAGTAACTTTATCATTTTAAAAGTTTATTAAATCATCGTTTTCTAGATTAGGTATACTATTCCTTTTAACTTAATAAAAGCAATTTTAATTATTATTTTATATTGGAACACTTTCATTTTTTTATTATTAGACCATAATTGTTACCAAATTATCACTTTTTGATTCCTTTAATTATACTTTTAATCTATTTATACTATCTTTATTTTTCTCTTTTAATAGTTCTTCTTAATTTTCATATAATATTTCTTAATTTCTTTGTTTATAATATATATCTTAATTTTCTTATTAAATAAAGCCTTTTTTTTCAAATAATTGCAAGTTATCCTATTAAAGTTTTGTAATTTATTCTTGATACTATATCATATTTTCTTAAAATTATAAAACATTATCTTAATTTTGGTTTTAATTTTAATCTAATTCTTTAATATTTAGAGCTTTATGGTTAGTTTTTTCCTATAACTAGAAAACTTATTATTTGAATTAATTAATTAAATTTTCTTTCTATTATATTAACTAATAATATTATCTTTTTTAGTTGTTTTCTTATTCAAGTTGTTATTATAAATTTGTTTGTAATCTTATTTATTTTTCTAAATTTTCTTTATTTATTTAAAGTTCAGTAGTTTGGTTTATTATTATTTCATTTTACTTTTCTATTTGTGATTGTAATTACATTACTTTAGTTTAAAATATCATTTATTCGCATAAATCTAATCTTAACTTCTCATTTTCATATAATACTTATTATATTTGCATTTTCAAATCTTCATTATGCTACCTAGTTGTTTTTAAATATATTTATATTTATGGCAAATTCATTAATAATCTATCACTCTTTAATTAATATTTTTATTTTATTAATTTTTTGTTTGTTTGTTTTTTTACATCAAATTATGTATATCTCCATTATTTGTCTTATAATTTATTTAAAATTAAGTCTGATTAACTACTTTTATTTTAATTATTTATTATAGTTTTTTTTATTTCTGATAATTAATATGATGATAATAATGGTGAATGTTAATTATTTACTATATCTTTAAATTATATATTTCCTATTTGATTAAACTCATCTAATTGTATTTTTTCTTGTTATTGTATTTAAACGTGAATATTAGGATTTTAACCTTAAATAAATATATATTTAGATAAAAATAAATATTACTTTAATGTAATACGTTTTGTTGACTTGAGTTAGCTTCTTTGCAAGCTTTTTATAATTTATTTTAATTACTAGTATGATTTTATAAACTCATTAATAAAACAGGATGTCTATTTAAATGATTAATAGGTGAATGTTAATTAATATTGTTTGTAAAAGTAAAATAATCATTTTTAAGACTTTATTCTGTTAATAACTTTTAATCAGGCTTCGATATAAATACTTTTTTTAATTAATGTTATTTTGATTAAAATTATTATTTTAGTCAAATATATTTAATGTTTAATCGTTTTATTATTATTATTTTTATAGTTATAATTGATTGTTTTGCTTATTTAAAAACTATTTTTAATTTTAAATGTAAGAATTTTCATTTTAATTAGTTGCATTTTATATTTATTTTGGAGTATTCCTTTTTTATATATAGATTTATTTTTATTAAGCATATTAAATCTATTATTTTTGATGTTTATCATTAGATATATCTTATTTTGATATTTCTTTGTTTATGGAATTATAAACTTATTCTGTTAACTCATTCCCTATTTATTATTTTTTAATTTATTATAAATATCCTTCTTATAAAATGTTATTTATTTAAATTTTGCTAACATCTTAGTATATATATATTGGCTTTTTTGTTGGAGATAACTTGTTCTTTTAATTTTAAGAAGATTCTGGGACTGTTTATTAATAAATTTTTAAAGGATTTGATATTGATCTTTTTTTGTTTAATAAATATGATTTCATATACTTTAATTTAAAATTATTTTCTTGATTACAATATTTTATTCTGAATTTATATTTAAATTTTTGTTAATTTTTAGTAATTTTTTATTTTATAACTATTATTGGCTTTATGTATAATTCAATCTGTTTTATGGTTAATGAGAAAAACTTTAATTTAAAGAAATCATTTTTAATTTTTTCTGTTAAAAATAATAATTAAAAAAAAAAAAAATCAATTTTAAATAATTTATCCAAATATTTAAATTAAAAATAAATATTTAGAAGTATTTTTTTTTAATTAATAATTAAAATTATTTTAGAACTTATCTAATTCTTATTTTAACATTAAATAACAAAATATTAATTAATGATTACTTTTTGTATTTATTGTAGACAAAGTACTTTAATTAAAGATAAATATTTTTTATTTGTTGGTTAATAAAAAATTTTAAATATATAAATAGAAATGCTAAAATTAAATGATAAATAAATTTTAAAATTATTTTATTTTTAATTTTTTTTTTTTTAATAATTGTTTTATTTTTTTATTTTTACAAATAATAATAAATAAATTTATAAAAATGGGAAGTGCTTGTACTAAATAATCTGACTTATAAATAATAAATCCATCTAATTAAATGGACATATAAGACCAGTAAATAAATAATTAATATGGATAAATGTTAAGTGTTAATCATCCATTTAATGTAAATAAAAAATATGAATATATACAGGATATAATTCGAGATTAATATACTTCAAGTGGTATAAAAAGAACACATGCTTATAAAACAAATTTAACAATGAGTGAAATTTAGTCAAAACGTGAAGAGTTTTGGTGTATGCATAAATATAAAATTTTATATAAAAAAAATATTATATTTAAATAAAAAATAAAGCTACAAGAACTGAAGGAAATAGCTAAGTATGGCTTATAATAAGATAAGTTCTATAAATGGATGAATGTATAAAAATATACATAAAATAAAATATATAATAAAATTATTTTAAGAATCTGGATTAGGATTACTATAAGCTGGAGGTATTAAACTAATAAATAGATCTATTTAAATTGCTTATGACACAGAAGGTAATTTTTATATAATTATATGAATTTTTTTCAAATTAAAATTAAGGCTATAAATATGATATTCCTATATTTTGTATAAATAATCCCATTTAATATGCTGAAATATCAAAAAAAGAGAAATATATCACCTAGAAATTTGAAGATAAACTAATTCAAGTAGGATAATAATATCATAAATAAATTTAATTTTTTTTTTTTTTTTTTTTTTTAGTTTAGATTGAGAGTAGTTGGAATTGAATAAGATTTAGTTATCAAAGCACAAACAAGTTAGACAGTTTTATAATTTAAAGCTTATGCATAATAATAACTTAAATAAAAATACAAACGCTTCAGATTGTTTGTTTCCGGAAGAGAATTATTAAATCATCATAAATTAGGTAATTATGATATTGATAAAGACACTATATTATAAGTATTTGCTTCAAATATAGACTGATAAAATACATATATTTATATTTTAATTTATCAAACTATTAATTATGTTTATTTATATGATTTTATATATATAATATTTAAAATAATTTAAACATTATAAAATGAATATCTTATATTTCTTTAAAAAGTATATTACATTAATTAAAGTTTATATATAAAAAATTTAAATTATATTGATTAAAGAAATATTATTAAATAATTTTTTAATAAAAATATTTATGTGAAATTAAATAAATTTATATTTATTAATTTTAATTAATAAGTTATAAGATTACTTGTATCAAAAAATTATATTTTCATTTTTGAGTTTATAATAATAATAAAATATATTATTGAAGAAAAGAATAATATAAGAATTATGAAAATTAAAAAAAAATTAATTGCTATTATTTAAAAATATTTTTAATATAAAGTTAATAAATAATTTTATTTTGTATATATTTAATTATTTTATAAAATTAATTTAAAATATAATGATTAAAATTAAAGGGATACAATAATGTATTTTATTGAAGAAAAAAAAAAAAATTAATTTATATATATATATTAAATACGAAAAAAAAGAAAGTCCAAAAAAACAAAATAATAATAAAGAAAAATAAAAAAAAGATATAAAAAAAAAATGAAAGTAAAAAAAAAAATATATATATAAAAAAAAAAAAAAAAAGTTCAACATAAGCTACCCCGTAACAGGTGGATAAAAATGCATTGAAATCGACGACGATAAAAAATGGTAAAACAAAATAAACAAAAATCCAAAAAATAAAAATAATATTAAAATATTAAAGCAACATTTTCATGGACAAAAGAATGGGACAAGAAGTATAAGCTGATTCTTTAGGAGATGAATTCAAAGGATATGTATTTAAAATTGCAGGAGGAAATGATAAATAAGGATTTCCCATGAAACAAGGTGTATTCGCTAAAGGAAGAGTTAGACTCCTTTTATCAGCTGGTCATTCTTGCTTCACTGAAAGAAGAAGTGGTTTCAAAAAGAGAAAATCAGTCAGAGGATGTATCGTTGGACCTGATATGAGAGTATTGGCTTTATAAGTAGTAAAAAAAGGAGAAAAAGAAATTGAAGGAGTAACTGATGTTAATTTACCAAGAAAATTAGGACCTAAAAGAGCTAATAAAATTAGAAAATTATTCGGATTAAAGAAAGAAGATGATTAAATTTTGGTTAAAAAATCAGTTATTAGAAGAACTTTCAAATCTGGAAGCGGAAAAGAAAGAACTAAATGTCCTAAAATTTAAAGATTAATTACACCTGAAAGATTGAGAAGAAAAAGAGTTTATCTTTTGGAGAAGAAATCTAGAGCTACCAAAACTAAGGCCGCTAGAGAAGAATACGAAAAATTCTTAGTTGAATGGAGAAAACAAAGAAATACCTAAGCAGTTAAACCCGAAGAACCTGCTAAAAAGACTGTATAAGAAACTAAATCTGCTGCTTAAAAAGTTGACAACAAAGCAAAAACCACCACTGCTGTTTAAAAAACTGATGCTAAATAAGGTGCTAAACCTGCTACTACTGGTGCTAAACTTGCCTCTACTGGTACTAAAGTTGCTGCCACTACTGTTTCTAAATAGGCTCCTGTCTAAAAGACTGTTACTGCTGCTAAAGATTAAAAACCAACCGCTGTTAAATAAGGTGCTGCTACTAATTAAACTAAATAATAACCCTAATAAGGATAAGCTAAAGAATAAAAAAGTGCTCCCGCTCCTGCTAAATAAGGAGGTAGAAAATGAAGTGAGTTCATATTGGGAGATGTTTTTTTCTTATTCTAAATTTTTTGGTATGTTCGAAAGTATTTTTTTATATTATAAATTAGAATAAGATTTTTTTTATTTGTAAAATAATAAATAAGGTTAGTATTTAAGATAAAAATTTTATTTTTTATTTTTAGTTAGTATTTATAAAAATTATTTAAACATAATTAAAAAAAATATAATATAAATAATTATTCACATTTATATAAATTAATTTTATATTTTATAATTAAAATATATAATTATATTATTTAATTTAATCTATTTTTAATTTGTTTATGATAATATAAAAAATTAATATTTAAGATAATTATTTTAAATATATATATTAATTGAATATTTTTAAGCTTTTTAATTTCATTTTTATCAGATTTTTAAAGAAATATTTCGAAATTTTATATAGTTATTGCATTTTTTAACATAATTTTATTTTAAAAATTTATATAATCTATATTATATTTTTTTCTATAAAATAATAAAATTAGATGATATCAAAAAATTAATATTTAACTAATAAAAAAAATAATTATAATTAAAATAGATTTTTAAGTCTAAAAAATAAAATGATTTACTTTTTCCAAATACCTGAAATATAAGATGATACTAAATTACAAGAATTACCTTTACCTGCTGCTTAGTTAGATTTATAAACTTTGTAGTATCTAAAACAAGTAGATTAATTAAGATTGTAATACAAAACTTGTATGAATTATAATAAAATAATTGAGATTATGAACTTAAATGATGGTTTATCAAATTATGTAAAAATATATGATGATTATTTAAAAACTAATGTCGAAATAGTAAATAATATGAATTTATTATATGTATATATTTTTATAATGTTTAGTTAGCTATTATAGGATTCAAGGAAGCTTAAAAACCAAAATTTAGATACAAAACATTTATTTCTAAAGATATATAAGAATATTCAACTGAAGAGAATAGTAAATAATTAAAAAATATACAAATATATTAAAAAATATAAAAAGGTAACCCTGAAGCTTGTGCTGCAGAAATTATGATTACGAGATATTCATATGCATTTTCGTTTTAATTAGATGCTTTCCATCACATTTAATTCGTTCTTAAATATATTAATTAAACATTTAATGAAGAGAAGCCATTTAAAGAAATAGAGAAAATTATGTAAATTATTACAATATTGTATATATACAAAAAAAAAATAGAACTGAAATTAATAAAAGTTTAAATATTTTTCACACAGGAGTTTAGCCAATTAGAAGACTTAATAATGTAATTAATGATGTATTATATTTTCTTGTATAAAAATAAAATACATTAATTCCTGAATTTAAATAGACTGTATTTTACTCAGTGAAACTGTAAATAAAAATATAATCAACTAAATGAAAAAAATACTATTTATTTATTTTAAAATTATTAGAATTATTGAAACTAATGCAAACAGTTTGTATATTGAGAAATTAAGAATTATGAGAGAATATAAATTATTATGCTAAGTATGTAAAACATCTTTTAGTAAGCTTTCTATTTCATATGAAAGGTTAATGGAAATTTAAAATGAAATATAATCAGGAGTTTTCGATTTTTTAAAAGCGGGTATGTTATTTTATAAGGCTTATGCATTTTGGGCAATTTTAAAATAAAATCATATTTTAATTGAATAGGAGAATTATTCTTAAAAATCATTTAATTTATTGTCTTTTGAAATATGTGAAATAACTAAATATTTAACTTACTTATATTAATAATATTTAAATATGAAAATTGACAGTGATTATTATGATTATGGAATGTAATTTTTCGTTAATATGTTTCTCCCTTTCTCCTCTAAGTATGATTAATATTTTTATTTTTATTATTTATATATTAAATATTTATAGACTTCATAAAACTCATGACATTATAAGGCACGTAGAAATAGAAAAACCTAATCCTGAATATATATTTAATATCGTAGAAAATTCAATAGATTATTTTGAATCAATCCCTCAAGTAAACAAGAACTGATCAAAAAATAGATAATTTTAGTACAAATATATGTAATATTTATAATTATTTTGTGTTTTTATTTTTATAATATATATTAGTTTTTCAAATAAGAAATAATTTAATGCAACTAAGCGAATTCAATTTATATTATTTTAATTTTTGTTATTTTTGTTTATTTATAATTTTCAAATTTCTTTGAAAAGTTTTTATATTTAATTTAATAATAATAATTTATATTCAAAAAAATATTATTTATATTTTTTTTTTTATACAATATAAATTAAACTTTTTTAAAAAATATAGTATATGATAAAAGAAAAATTTTTAGAAATCATTAAAGTAAATGAGTTCTTATATTGCCCAAAACAGATTATTATTCTCCCTAATTAATTTATAAATAAAATTAAAAAAATAAGTATTTACTTTCTTGCAAACATATATATAATGATAATTATCCGATTTTGTATAATCAAAATTATCATTTTATGCATTTACATGAGGTTTATAAATTTTATACACTTTTTTAACATACCATTAAAATAAATGCTTTTTTTATTTTATTATTTCAAAAAAAATATTTATTTTTTACATTTTCCAATAATAATTATCTTTTTTTTTCTTCACCATATGTTACACAAATATAAACTCCATCATTATTTAAAACCCTTGTTATTTCAGATAGCATTTTAAAAGAGTTCTATTTTGAATAGTCTCCACACTTAATTTTTAGAAAAGAAAAAAAAAAATTAATTTTTTATTTATTGTGTGATTACCAAAACAGAATCTAATGTACCTTTATCAATTACACAATCAAATTATTCATCTTAAAATTTTTATTTCATAAATCTCACATCGCATAATTCAACTATTTTTAAGATATTTTTTAAATTTTATTATTTTTATTACAGTTAAATGTGTTTGCAAAGCCTTCAGAGTATCTCTCTTTTAAGTGTTTTATAAGATTATTTGAATAATCAATATTTGTTATATTCTAATATCCTTCAAAATACATTTCTTCATTTACAACTTTATTTTTATTAAAATATTTTTATTTATTATTTTTAATTTTACGAGAAGATCCACATCCTACATATAATATTTTAGATTTTTGTTTATATATTAAGTAACTATATCTTTTATTCCATCATAATTTTAGTACCAATCAAACGGTTTTGTATTTCTATTTTTTTTTAATATTATATTTATTTCTTACTTTTAAAAAAAAAATTACGTTTAATATCTTTTTTCCCAAAACTCTATTTTTCCGTAATGAGAACTGTTATGTGGTGGAGGGTCAACTTTATTCTCTTACATGTTTTTTTTAATTATTTTTTTAAATTAATTTGTATTTTTTATTTATGATAATTGATTCTTTATTTTTAAAAAAATCTGATTTAATCATATATTTAAAAATTATATATATAAAAGATATTATAATTATTTATTTATTTTATTTAAGTAATTAATTTTATTAAAAAAATCAAAATTTAAAATTATAATATATTATTATTATTAACGTTATAAAAAAAACAAAAAATTAGATTATTATTAGTTCAATAAATACTTTTTAAAAAAATAAAATATCAAAATCATTAAATAATACTAATATTAACATTTTTCTTTAAGATTTTTAAAAACGGATGCTTTAAAGTTTCTTTTAAACTTATTTTTTTATCAGAAATTTTATAAAATAATTTAAAAATATATTTTAAAATTCGGTCGGTCAATCAAATTAAACTTAATTCTTATTTATTTATCATATTAAATAAAAAATATATTAAAAAAATATTAATTTTAAAACTTTCTAAAATTTTTATTTATCCTGCAAATGGAAATCTTCCAAAAATCAATTTATAAGTTAAAACAAAAATACCCCAAATATCAATAAAATTATATATTTTTTTTTTTTTCTGCAATCATCTCAGGACTTATATAATCTAAAGTTCTACAAAAAATTATCTTTAAATTACTTTGGTAATTAAGTTTTTAGAGTTTATTTTCTTCTGTTTTGATATCTTTTTAATATTAATTCTAGATCTTTTGTTTTTTTCATATTTTTTTTTATTATACAATTTCATTTGGATTTATAAATATTAATGTCTTTCCATAAAAATAGATAATTTTAAGATATTTTTATAAGAGTCATTTTATTTAAATTCCAATCCAATTATTATTTTTAATTTAAATGACTGCAAGTTTTTAATATTTACACTCATTATAGCAAATATGATATACATAATTCTCTTTTATATCTTTTTTTATAAAAAATAGAAAAACATAGAAAAACTTTTGTATTTTAGTAGTTTCTTATTTTTCTTTTTATACTTCATTTATTTTTTCAATTAAATTGACTTTAAGGAACAAACAATCGTTTATGTTATAACCTATTTTTTTTTTTTAATTTTTTTTCTCAATAATAATTAGTGAGTATTATATTCAGAAAAATAATTAGAAAACTTATAATTAGTAAGTTTAATAATTTATTAAAAATTATATTTAATGTTATATTGTTATTTTAAAAGTATAATTTTTTAAATTAAAATGAAAGTTACTTATTTTCAAAATTAGATACTTAGTTATTATATTAATTAATTTGAAATTTGAAATTTTCTTCATTATATTCTTTTTATGAGAAATAGTTTTTAATTAATAAATCTTTTTCCAAAACATTTTTATACTGGAAATATTTAGATTTTAAAAATTTATATTTTATCTTTAGAAGAGTCTTACTATTAATTGTCTTTTTTTATTAAGAATTATCTCATTATTTTTACTTCTTATTATTTTATTATAATTTCAATTTCTTTGTTTTGTAAAATCACTAATCATCTTTTTACTAGAAATTCAATACTAATATTAATTTTAACTTATTATACTTATCTAAGATTTAAGTGAATGTAATTTATTTTAAAAAAAGGTTTTTAGATAATATTTTGTCAATTTATTTGTTATTGCATTTTAAAGTCAATTTGATAATATTTGTGATTTTATTAATTAATTTAAAATATTTAGTTTTATTTATGACATGATTTAACATAAAATATAATTTATAATTTTTTATATAATAATATTACATATTTCTAATATATTTTTATTTAGTTTATATTATTATTGCTAGTATTTAGTTTTTATAATAAGAATTATAATAATATATATATATATATATATATATATATATAATATATTTATATATCTATTTATATATATAAAATTATTTTATCATTGCATTTTCAAATTTTTATAAATATTCTAAATATAATTAATTATATTTTTTTAAAAAAATAAAATAAAATAATTAAATATAAAATAATCTTTTATATTAATAGTCATAATTTGAATAACCTATATCATATATCATATTTAGTACAAGTGTCAATATTATTTTCTCCTGCAAAATTAATTCTTGAATGATAAACAAGATAATTACTTTCAACTCCATGCTCAGTTTATTCAGAGAACATTTTTCTTATTTTTTTGAATTTATTATAAGCTTTTTCAATAGAAATTCTATTTTCAGTTGCTATGAAGGTCATATTTTCAATTAACTCTCTTACCAAGTCTAAGTAATAATTACTTCCTAAAGAATAAGCATTTAATTTAAAAGAATTTTATTATATGTTTTATTACGGTGTCTCTACTGCTTCTACATCTATTAGGAAAAAAATGAAACAAACAATCATTCCTAAATTCCAAACAGCACTTTATTCATTAAAATTATTTGTTAATTATTTGTTACGAATATAAACTTCTGGAGCAATATAAGAAAATTGTGTTTATTATTCGTTAGAAAAAGTCTATTTATTAAAAAAAATATCGATAGAAGGTTCCTAATTTTTATTTAAAAATATATTATAAGGTTTAATTATAAAATCATAATAATTTTTTGTATGTAATTCTTAAATTAGATCAAATATTTTTTAACAAACATTAAATTTATCATTTAATTCATACAATTAAGTAGATTATATTGACTAATATAAGTTTAATTAATAAACTTAAAAGACAAGGTAAATATAAATAGGACTTTTTTCTGTTTTTCTTGTATAAGCGATTTTTTGTATTTTTTAAAGTCCTTAAATATTTTAAAGATTTTCAAAATAATTTTATAATTTATCAATTTAATTTTTATTTACTAAAACAATTTCTTTTATTATAACTGGTAAACCATTTTTATTTTTTTGTATTATTTCTTCAAATTTTTTATTTTACTAAGATTTTAATTTGCTTAAACCCTATTAATCTGTTTAAAATTAATTTTAATTATTAATTATTAACCCTTCATAAGTTATTTAGTTTATATTTTCAAGTAAAATCAAGTCTTCTATCTCACATGTTTTCTAAACGTTCAATTTTTTGTAAAAAGTTTCGAATTAAGTTACCAAATCTTAATATTAGTCGCTTTTTTATGATTAGTTTTGTAGTTTTTTTCTTAATATTTCAAATTATAAGGTTTTACATTTCTTGAATATTTAAGTGTTTTAATTATATAGATCTAGTGCTTATTTTTGGATTTGATTCACTTCTTCTACAGTGAATTTTTTATCTAACTTTTATTTTATTCTTGATATATAATACATACTGTAGAATTAATCTTAAACCCCTTTATCGGAATTTTAAATTCTTTATTCAAATAATTTTAAGCTTTCTAAAAATAATTCTTCTGTTTAATTACTATTATTTTTTAAATATAATTAATAAAAATGATATTTATTTTTTTACTCTAATCCTTTTGACTTTAAATTCAAATTAGCAATTTAAAATTAAACATAAGATTTATGACTTTAATCATTTGTAATTAATTAAAATTCTTCTTTTGTAATTTCAAGTGCTTATTAAATATTTATTTATTATCCTAAACCTTTTTCAAGAAGACTGCTTTTTATTCTTAGAGAAATTATTTTTAATTATTCTTTTGAGAATTTGCTTTTATAAATTAAATCATTAGAATTCAAAATTAGTTTGCAAATATTTACATTTAAAAGCATTTTTGGAAGAAAATATTTAATTAAAAAATAAACTTGGAAAAAGTAAATTTTAGTATTCTAATAAAATTAATCTTCTTCTAAATCATTAAATTAAGAAAAAAATTGAACGTTTTAAAATATGCTTTTTAATGTATTTAAAATAATTTCTTCTTTTGTTTTTTACAATTTATGTAATATATCTATACAGCTAAAACATTAAAAATAGTTTTAACTTAAATAATTTATTAGTAAGTTAAATTCAAATTCATTTCTTATTTCATCTATTTCTTATAAAAATTGTTAATATATTTCTTATTGTTTTTCTGCTTCACAGTATTATATACTAAAAATTAATTTTAATATATCTCTTTCTCTTTAATTAAAATATTCTTAATTAAATGTTTCCATTAAGTTTTGGTATACTCCTATTCCTCCTTCATATAAATTTATAAATCTTTTTATATCATTTGAAATTTTTATTAGCTTTCCACCATATTAGAAATTAAGCAATGCTGCTGAAGTAAGCAAAAAGAATAAAGTTTTTTATTAATTAAGCTTTTTTATTTTTTATATATATGTATATTTTTTTGTTTGTACAAAATTACTTCTAATTTTTATGTTTTTGTTTTATCACTATATATTTCGAACAATCTATAGGCGCACAAAGAATCTTTTTATAATTTAAATCCATTTGTATATTCTTATAAAACTTTCTCAGACTATTAATCTTAAGCATTTTCTTATTCTAATTATAGACCTCTTAAAAAATATTGCAGTTATATATTTTATTGCTTCTATTTTTATTTAAAATTATATATTATTTAGATTCTTTTTTAAAATATATATATATATATATATATATTTTTTACTTAACTATTGTTTAACTTTGAGTCTTAAACATTGTCTAAGATATGTAGGCATTATGGATTTAAATATCGGGAAAATATGTTTTACCAATTTATACGTTTAGAGTCTATTTCTATTTTCATACTTTAGAACTATAGTTTCTTACTCATTTTTTTTTTAATATATTTATTATATTTATTGGAAGTTTTCTTTTTTTATCTTCTACAAATTTTATTTAATAATAAATAATAAATTTTGAATTTATTTAATATGAAATTAATTTAGATTATGTAATTAATTTATACAAATAAAAATATATAAAATAATTAAAAAATTATATTTTATTAAAATAATTATTTATTTATTTAGAATCTTTAAATAAATTTAAATATTATACAATATAAAAATGATAAGCAGAATCAAAAATTTTGAAATAAACAACAAAATATGTTTAAAAACAATCAAATTTAAATTTTTATAAAGTTTTGTTTTAAATATTTAAAAAAATAGCGAGAAAAGTAACAAACTTTAAATATGATTTAAAAAATGCATTTTTTAAAATATATTTTATTATTTGAATTAAAAAATAAAAATATAATTAATTAATAAGTATATGTATAAATATAATATTTATATTATAATATATGTTTATATAATTTGAAATATATAAAAATATAATTTTGTACAATATTACCTTATATTTTATTCTTATATTAATTTATTTTTTAGGAATAAATATAATTAATAACTCTATAAATAAATATTAATTATTTTATAATTTTTAAATACTATTTTTTTTAATTTTATAAATGTCTTTTAATTTTTCACTTATTTTTTATTTATAAATATTCTGATTATACTTATGTATTATAAAAAGATATAATTTAGTGATAAATAATATTATTTTTTAAAAATAAAATTCTTTTTTAATCTGTATAATTTTTTATTTTAAAATAACAATTAAAATATATTTAAATATTAATAAATGCTGTATTATAATAAAAAGACATCTGTTTTAAATTTTTCTATGTTTAATAACTAATTCTAATACAAAATTATAAATTAACATAAATACAATAGAAAAATTTATAAATAATAATATAAAAAAAAATCTATATATTTTTAATGTTTGCTGATTTAAAATATATTATTATATATTTAAAATTTAAATTAAAATATGGAAAATAATAATTCTTAAACTACCAAAGAACAGTACTAAGAAAAAGAATAAAAGCAAGCCCCTTTTTCAAAAAACTAATCCCATTCGATCCAAAAGGAGGATTTACATGAACCATTAGCTATTTTAAGGTGTTTAAAAGGCTTAAGAAATGGTGTTTATTATGGATGTAAAGTTCGTTTTTTTCATGCATTAGTAATGACATTATTATTTAAAGATGGAAAATTGTAAGACAAATTAAAAAGCATAATTTAGCCAACAATAGAACATGGAAAAAATTTAGGAATTTATGTATTTCTTTATAAATCTATAGTTGAACTATTAAATCATTACAGAGGTAATTAAGATAAGAAGCATAGCCTAATATCTGGTTTTATAGTTGGTAATTATATTTTTGGACAAAAAACTGCTGTTAATAGTTAAATTGTATTATATTTATTTTCAAGAAATATTTCTGCAGGATGCTAAAATTTATAAAAAAAGGGAATTTTACCAAATATAATTTTTTTTCCTTTATTAGCTGCTTTATGCTGGGGAATCGTTATGTATTTGTTTGAAGAAGACAAGAGCAATTTATAATAGTCTTTAGTAAATTCAATGGATTTTCTATATAAAGAATCTGAGTAGGATTTAAATCATTGGAGTTAATTAGTTCCTGTTTATATTCCTTTAGGGGTTTAATAATTTTTAGATCGAATATTTTTATGAAATAATATAAGATAAAATTGAAAATGATTTTTATGTATTTTTTTTTTTTTTATAAATTTTCAATTATAAAATAAATATCTTTATTGTTTAATATTAATTCATGTTTTATATCTATATTATTTTTTTTTTGATTAATTTTTAATATTTTCAAATAATCATATTATATATTTATTTTTTAACTATTTGATTAGTTATAAATATATAATTATGTAAAATAATTTATAAATTTTTGATAATATATAATACAAAATATAATTTTTTTTATTCTATATTTAATATTATTTAAAGATAAAATTATCTTAGCTTCTTCCATCTCTAAAAATATTTTGGTTTTTATTATTTCTAAATCTAAAATATATTTAATTAAAATTATTTAATCACATGATTACAATATATTCCTTTCAATAATAAGAAAAATATTTTATATTTATTTATAGTTTTCTTAGTTTTTAGTTTTTAGTATTTTTCTTTTTATTGAAATCATCAATTTCTTATTTATCAAAGAAAGTGTTTTTTTCAATATCATTGTATTTTTTATTTTCATATTTTAAAATCTTAATAATTTAATTATATTATATTAAAATAATCTTTATGTTATTTTTTTCTTAAAAGGTTTAAAGTTTTTCGTTTCCTTTCTTTTGTAGTTATTAATTAATTATCTTAAAAAAACATATTTTTGGCAAAAATAATACATTTTTTTAAGCTTTATAATTTACTAAAATGACAATTAATTTTTTAAACTAAGTCGTGAAAAGAGCATAATGAAATTTATATTTATAATATTAAATTTTTTATATTATTTTTTTTTAAGCGTAAAATATTTTTTATATTTTTTAATAAATAAAAAGAATTAATATTTAAGCTTAAAAATTTATTAATTAACAAGTTAAAACTCATATAGAAAAGCTACGAAATTCATAAGATATATTCTAACCATAAATAAAATAAAAATTCAATTATTAAATATTTAGAAATATTTAAATCTTTTTATTATCTGATTTTCTTCATATTTATTTAAAATCATATGAATTCATCGAATTTATAATTAACTAAATAACTATGATTTTCGGTATATGCACCTTATGGATTCTATCATCTTTCTAGTATTATTACTTATTTTTAGGGATATATTTCTAGTATTGAGACATAAAAATATGATTTTTCAACAACAATACTTTCATTATCTGTTTTTAAATTTATAATTGTGTTATTATAAACCATCAAATAATATAATTTCAATTAAAATAAATAATAAAATATACAAATATTTATTTTAATTCTTTATTTAATATATTAAATAAAATATTCATTTCATTTTTTAATAAATACATTTAAAACTAATTATAAACGTATTTATATATATAAAAATTTCAAACAAAGATGCTTTTTTGTTTCTTATAGATTTAAAAGTTTATATAAAAAATAATAAAATTAATATTTAATTAGAGACAGAAATAAAAATCTATTAAAAAAGTATTTATATATAAAAATTCTTTTTATTATATATTTTACTACTTCTTACTAAAATCACATATTTATATATATTAAACTTTTAATTTATATTAATTATTTTATTATACAATTCACTTTTTAAATATAAATTTGCTTGAATTTATTTATGGAAACTTATGATAACAAAAACATTTTTATAATTTAAATATGCTTATTGATTATATCAATTATATATATAATTAATTTTGAGTTTAATTAAAAAATAAATTTTAACATCAAATAAATCATTACTTTATTTAATATAAAAGATTAGAATATAATTAATAGCTTATTTGTATTTTATCTAAAAGATAATTTATAATTAATTTATAATTATGATTTTCTAATAAATCATTTTTTAAACCAAAAATTAAAATTAATATAAAGATTTTAAAAAAAATATTAAGAAGGTTTAAATAGAAAAACAATTTTAAATTTCATAATTTTTCTATGATTAATATAATGCAATTTCGAGTAATAATATAAAAAAACCAAAACATATGAAAGTTTTGTTTTGGTAAATTATAAAGAATTAAACTATATCCAGCTAAATTAAAATAATTTTTTATAACTTATTGATAATTTTTTTAGAAATGTTAGAACCTTAGTAATTTGTTTAGATTTTAAAATAAAATAAAATAAAAAGAAAATATATTTTTTATTGTTTTTTTTGTTTTTTTTTTTTTAAAAAAAACTCAGAACCAATTAAAAAAAAAATGTTATTATCTATTTTTCTTTTTTTTTTTTTTTGGTTTAGTTTTTTTTAAAAAAAGACAGAAACAATAAAAAAAATTTTAAACAAGTATATTAGAAAAATATATCTATTTTGTTTGTATTAATAATATTTAATTATCAAAGTTTTCCAAAATTTTTAAAAACTAAATCTTTAGTTTCCTATCCAGCTAAGCTTGCCATACACATACCCCACCCACAAAATCTTCCTACGAAAAATACATTTCTATCAATTTTCTAAATAATATAATCTTTACATTCTATATTTTTTTTAGAAAAACACATAATGCCAGACCAACTAAAATCAACTTCGAAGTCAGTATTCGGTAATATTTATTCCTTTAAGTAATTCAAAAGTCTATTCTTAATAGCTTCACTGTTCTTAAATTCAGTAGTTTATTCTTCTTCATAAGCATCTAAGAGACCTCCTCCAATTAAAATTCTATTATCAAAGACTCGAAAATAATATGAAGTATAGTCCGCACAAAAAAGACCTTTTACCTTTAAATTTTGAATAGGTTTTGTCATAATAATTTAACCTCTAAGAGGTATCATATCCATATTTTCTTTTATCAAGTTATTTGTAAAGCCATTTGTACAAAGAATTAAATTTTTTGTTTTAAAAATATATTTTTGATTATTATCTATAGAGCATTTTACTTCAACTTTCACAATTTCATATCCTTATTATTCATAATTCATTACTTCACAACCAGTTAAATATAAGCCTCCTTTTGTACTAACATATTATATTAAAGCCTTTATAGTATCTCCAACATTTATTTGACCGCAAAGTCTATTTTATACTATATATTTAATATTCTATTTATTGAATCCACATTCTTCTACTATTTCATTTTTTATAATAAATACATCTTCAGGAAAGTATTTTCTTAAAATATCATTAGATTTTTTTACTAGTTATTTAAGCTAATCAATAGAAATATTATTAAATTCTTCTCCTAATATATTATAATAGCCATTTTATTAGTAATCTATTTTCTAATGATTTAATCTTTTTTTTAATAATTCTATAGATAAATTTTTTTTCATAAATTCTTATAAAACAAATTCCTCTCCTTTTTTTTCTAAGCTTTCTATAAAATCATCAAATTCATAATTTACTAAAAATCCTGCATTTTTAGTTGATGCTCCACATGGTATCTATCCTCTTTCTAATATAATGACCTTTTTAGAAGGATATGTTTCAAGTATAGACGAAGCACAAGAAAGTCCAGCTATACCTCCCCCAACTATTATTACATCATGGTTTTCTAAGAAATGTTGTTTATCCCAATAGCTAAACATTTTAGTTTTTTAATTTTATTAAAAATCTAAATATAAATAATTATTTTATTATTATTATTTTTAATATATAATTTAAAAAAAAGTATCTTAAAAATTAAAAAAAACATTAGCAAATATAAATATAAAAACATTTGTTTAAATAAAAAACACGAAATAAAAATAGAAAAAATAAAATTGGTAAAATAAAAATTACAATAAATATATAAAATAAAAAATATATCAATGATTTAATTATTCAATATAAATTTAATTTATTATTTCCATTTTTTTCATTTCATATATTATCATTATTATTCTTAAAGGACATAACTAAATATTTTTTAAGTCTTTTGTTTCTTTATTGATAAAAAACTCGCTTTTTAACTCATAAATATATTGAAAGCTTAATTTAGAATTGCATTTATTATATTTAAAAACATGGTTCAAATAATTATAAAATCCGTGATAAGAATCGGTTTTTTCATCAATTACTTTCAATCAATTAAAAAGCATTTTCAGTATAATTTCTTTGCCAAATTCTTTACTAATTTCATTTAATGTACGCTTGAAATCACAATCAAAGGAATTTTTTAAAATTTATTTATTATGAAGTTGATTTTTTTTTAAATAAATTATTCTCATAAAGAATTTCAGTAAATTTATTTTTTCAATAATAATTTAATTCAACAAATGATAAGCAATTATATTTTTGAGCAATTTCTGATTATTTTGCTCTATTTAATTTAAGAAAAGGAAATGAATAATTATCAATTAAGGTTTATATATATCATATCAAAACTTAAATTGAAATAAAACAATTGCTAATTATTAAAGTGTTTAATTTTTTTTTTTTTTTTTCTATTATTCACAAAAAAGTTATTATAGGGTAAAATACTCAATAATAATTTTAATAAAAATTTAAAATAAGGAAAAATGACTTCCAAAAAATTATAATTTTAAATAATTTTTTAAAACAAATAAACAACAAACTTTTACAAAATAATTAATTATATATTGCTTTTATTAAAAGATGATAGTTATTTTCTATGATAAAAAAATATTTTCTGATGGCAAAATATATTCTTTTAAGACCATTAGATATTTTTTGAAGTTGTTTTCTGATATATAGAGTGGGAAAAAAATATGAAATTAAGCATAATATGGTTTAAAAGTAATATGTTTATTAATAATTAAACTATAATTAATTAAAACTGTGTTTATAAATAAATAAAAATATTAAAAAAAATTTAAATATTTGTTTAAAAATATGTAAAATTAGTATTATATAATATTTTTAGTGATATAAAAAATAATAAATTTATTAATAATAACAATATTTTTTATTTTAAAATAGTAAAGATAAACTATAGTTATTATATTAAATATAAATCAAAGATTATTGCTAATTCTTTGCACTATATTTAATTTGGATTTAATATTTTTAAATCTTTCTAATTTATAATCATCTTACTAGCTTTTTAGTTCTGATCTTTTATGATTTTCCTTTAATTATACTTATTTTGATTTGCTTTAAATTGATTTATTTTAAGCTTATTATAGTTTTTAATTTTTCTTAATTTTTATAAATATTATATTATATTTATTATTTAATATTATTTTTTACTTATTCATATATATTTTTGTAAAGTTCTAAATTATATTATTCACCCTCTTTAGCGTATTTAAGTTCTTTATATATTTTATTTCACATATGTATATTATACATGTATATATATATATATATATATATATATATTATATTTATATATTTATTATATTTATTATATTTTTTTTTTTATATAAACCTATAATTTGATTAATTGGGGTTGAAGGTCTTTTATAAATAGATATATATATATATAATATAATTAATTTTATATAAATATTTACCTATTTTTTTTTCCATAACAAAAATCATCTGAAGGTAAATTAAGTTCAATTCCTTTTTTACCTTTATGTACTTTTTTTTTAATTTCTTGATGTCTATTTATGTATTATTTTATATCCTTATTTTTTTTTAAAAAAACTAATTTAATAATTAATATATATTTTACTTTAGGTTATATAATGTTTTCTTTTATACAACTTTTATTTATTCTAATAAAATCTTTTGGTGGTTGTTAATCTTTTGTTTATTCATGATACTACCATGACATAATAACTTTTTTTATTTTAAAATAATAATTGTTTTATGGAATAAAAATAACTTTCTTTTGCATTTTATATGTTTTTAGAACGAGACTTTCCATATACATGATTTCCAGAAGGCAAATTATATGTAGATTATTTTGCTTTACCTATTTCACTTTTTTAAAGTAATTTATTATGTTTATTTTATTCTGATGGCAAATAGGATTATATCATTTTTTTTAATAAAAAATAGTTAATTAATGGTTTTATTATTTAATTTAAATTTATAACTTTTAATGTTTATATATAAGTATTATTATTTAAAAAAAAAAAAAAAAAATTAATTATAAATTATTTTAAAAAATTAAAGAAATCCAAATAAATATATTTATATACAAAAGAAAAATATAAAAATGATATAATAAAAACACATAAATGATTATGAATTTTTAAATTATATAAGTGCAAAAAAAACAGTATTTATATTAAAAGATAAACTATCAAATAAAGAATATGCAGCAAAAAGAATATAAAACTAAAGCAAATAAGAGCGAGAATAAAAAATATAAATTTTATTAAAATACAAATTTGTAGAAGAAATAGATGAAGATACCGAACTAGATTACATATTTGACAGTTACGAAGTTATACGACATAAAATATTTAAATTAATATTTATTTTACATATATGATGATGACTCATGGGATATAATATTATTAATGGAGCATTTATATATGTCATTAGAAGAAAGCATCTAAAAAAAGCAAAAAATAGAAGATTATTTTTCAATTTCAAGCATAAAAGAACTTGTAAGAAGTTATTTTGGTGCTCTTTGTTTATTCGAACAAAATTCGTTAACACATATGAATATTAAACCATAAAATATATTATTTTCTACAAAGCAAAATGTATATAAAATAAGTGATTATGGAATCATGAGTAGCTCTGAAGAAGAAAGGCAGATTTGGGATTCTCCAGAAATACTTTAATATATTATTTAGAATGGATAATTAAATAAAAATACATTGTTTTCAATAAAAAGTGATCTTTTTTCTACTGGGTTAGTAATTATATATGCTGCAACTTTAAAAGAAAAAGAAGATTTGATGTGTTTTAAATTAAAAAATAGAAACTCAATTTTATAAAAGGAAAATATTTTGAAAGAGATAAAAGATAGGTATGGAGTTGAACTTTATGATTTAATCAATTAAATAGTTGTCTTAGATGAATAAGATAGAAAATTACCTATTGATCTTAAAAAATATTAAGAAATATTCCTAAAATCGAATTATTAATTTCTAGGTGGAAAAGATGGGAAAGGAAATGAAGCAAAAAAGCGTATTATTTATATATATATATATATATATATATATATATATATATATATATATATATATATATATATATATATATATATATCTTTTTTTTTTTTTACTTTTAGTCGATAAATTACTATGTAGTGAAGTTTTTGCTAGTATTTCAACTAGGATTCAAAACAAGAAATTTTCTCCTGAAAAGTTTTTTGCTAAATATGACTATAATAAGTTATAAAAAACTATTAATAAAGGCAACTTTTTAAGAGCCCTTAATAATTTAAATATTACCCTTTCTTAATATGAATAAGAAACTTTGATTGAAACTTTAAAAACCGATATTAATAATATTCTTAGTATTAAAATACGTAAGTTTTTTTTTTTTTTTTTTTTTTAATTGTTTTTTAAAATAGTTTTGGAAAGCGAAAATTTATAAGATAATTAAAATTTTGTAAAAAAAAAAAAAATATTAAAAAAATTATAAAAAAAAATAAAAGTAAAATCTATTAATAAAATTAAGCGATGAAGAAGAAAAGCAATTTTTAAGTGAAATGATAAATTTGAGTTAGTAATTAAATTCTTAAAATAGAAACTTACTAAAAATCCTCGAATCATAAGATCATAGCAATTCAGACGTTTTAGAATTAAATTAAATAGTAGAATGCCTAAATTATAATAAGATTTATATTTCTGATGATTTTTAAGATATGATAAATAGGAAATATGATATTGAAAAGAATGGAAAAATTCATTATTAACATTTCTTTGACGATTATTTAAATCTTACTTAAGTAACAGATTTAGATATATAGAAAATGATTAGATAATGCTTTTAAATAATAAGGGATAAATATATTACTTTAGAACAATTTTTTGAAGAATATGATGCCGATGATAAAAGATATATAAATCGCTAATAGTTTTAATAATTTTTAGAAGATTCTTGTTATCCTGTTCCCGAAAAAATAGCAATTAAATTTTATGAAAAAATGGATTTTAATAATACAGGCAAGTTTTATTTGATGAGCTTTTATAGAGTGTTCGAAAATATCATTGAGGAGATTTTTGTATAAATTTTAAAGGATTTGGTTTCTTAATTAGAGTTATAAAAAGCAAACCTTTATGAATTATTATCTTATTATTGTTTTTAGTATAATAAAATGGTAAAAATGGAAGAAATTAATAAGGTTTTTTTAGGAATCTATAATGAAATTACATAAAGAGATATTGCCTTAGTATTTAATATAATGGGAATTCAAAAAACTGAAAACAAATAAATTAATATAGATAAGTTATGTTTGAGCCTTTATGAATATGCAGAAGAATAAAGAATTGAGAACCGAGAAGTGTTCTGTAGTAAATAAGGAATACGAGATCTAAAAATAAAAAGAGAACAGTTATAAACTATGAAAGGAAAAGTGGCTGTTTTAAGTGATTTAGTTGGAGAAAGAATAAAAAAATTCAAAAAAAGAGATGTTTTTGCATTTTTTAATATAGAAGGAAATAAGGACCCTTTTATAGATTTTGATTAGTTTTGGTAAAAAATTAGTGTTATAGCGAAAATCAAAGAAGAAGATGCACATTTGCTTTTTAAATAGATTGATAGGTTAAATTAAAATAGAATTTCTACTTTAAATTTCCTTACTTTTATTAATTATGAAATAGATGTTATTTAAGATTATAAAGTTAAACATATTTAGGGAATCGATTGTAGAAAATTTAATAAAGTAATACCTTTTATTAATGATTTAGTGGATTTTATTAAGGAAGAAAATTCTGATTTAAAAGCTGAGAGTTTCTTTTATTAGGAAAGTGGATAAATGCATATTATTGATTTCTAATATAAATTATAAGACCTCAAAATAAATTTGAATTTCTATAAACAATAAATAGATGAACTTTTAAAAACTATAAGCTTCCATCTTGATCCTGTTAATATCAATTCAGAGTTGTTATGTGATTTAATTTAGTTTGTATAGGAAAAAAAAAACTAAGATATTGCTTCTTCCCTTGTTTTTACTGGAATTAATTACGAAAATATGCCTACTGTTATTGAATGGTTCAGTAACCTTTATAAAACTCTTTAAAAATCCAACTTTACTATACAAAACACATTCGAAAGATATGAGGATACACCAAAAGAAATATCACTAAATGTAATAAAAATAAAAAATAGAAATTAAAAATATAAATATATAAATAATATATTAAGAAATATAAAAAAATAATGTAAATAATATATAAAAAAGTAAATATAGTATATATATATAAAAATAATTTATATGTATTAAATAAAATATATATCAAATAAAAAAAATATAGTAAATTTAAAAAAAATAAGGACTTTGAACATGTTTTATTTAATACTTTGAAAATGTAACGAGATTTCAACTATATTTATTTTCTGAAATATAACCGGAAAACAACTTAAACTATATCTTTAGAAAAATTAAAATAAGGTCTTTAAAAAGAAGAAACAGCAATTAAAAATTTAAAATAAATTATGGAACATGCTCGTTCTTTAGGCATGAATATAGACTAAATATTTAGATAGTTTAACTAAAATTAAGACAGTTTTTTAGACAAAGAAGAGCTAATGAAGTTATTAAATATTTTAAATAATTCTGACGATTTAAAAGATTAAGGATTTATTAATTATTTATTTGCAAAAATGGACTCATCGGGGGATGGGTAAATTAGCATGAAAGAATTAAAGAGCAATTTGTTAGGTATCGCTGCTGGTAATTTGGAATAGGAGGAAGAAAGTTTCATAATGCCTATTGTAAGGGAAATTTAGGTATAATTATGGAAAAGAAATATAGTTTTGGAAGATTTTTTTCGAGATGTAGTGAAGGATGAGAAGATTTCGATAAAAAATTTTATGGAAAAAATATAGTATTTGGGTATTGATGTGAAAAAGAATTAATTAAAACTGGAAGCATTGTTAAATAAACTTTCAGTCGAAAATAATTTCTTGGTTTTTGGGGAAATTAGGATGCTATTTAAAAAGTTCGAATATAATGAAGAAGAAATGTAAAAAAAGGGAGGAAATCTAACTATTTTATAATAAAAATAATTATAGTCTTATTCTGTTTTTGTGAAAAGATATATGTAAAAAAATAAGGTGAATTTCGAAGACCTTTTTAGGTCCAAAAAATTGAAGAATACAGAATTTATTACTGAAGAAATGCTTAGATATATATTAGCTTTTGAATTGGAAATTCCAGAAAATGAGGAAATGAATCAGTTTATTGATTATTTAGTTGAACTATCGGAAAATTAAGGAGTGGTTAATTTAAATAATTTAGAAAAGTTAATTTTCGCAAGTTAAAAAAATGTACAGAAGGAAAATAATTCTAATGAGAAAAATCAAGAAAAAAATAAATAATTATTTAAACTTTCATAAAATTAAATAGATGATATTATCGAATTCGCTTTCAATTCGAAAATTTTTATGAAAGAACTTAAAGTTTAAGAAACAAAAGCTTAAAAAAATGGATATTTACCTATTTTAATAGTCAAAAATGTGTTTAATAATTGCGGAAGATATATTAAGACAGAAGACATAAAATAATTTTGTGGGTTTTTTGGCTGTATAGATGAGTATGATGATGTAAATTGTATTCGATTAATTTAAGAAATCGAACGAGAATGCTCCAAAAGAAAATATTTATGTAAAACTAAAGTATCGTTTGGATAATTTTCTAATGAGTTTATTTAACTTTGTTAGAAAATTAAAAAAGAATTTAGAAAAAAAGGATTTGATTTAATTGATTGTGTATAAAAATATTAATTTAATGCCAAAAATTTAAATAGCTTTTGGATCTATGAAAGCGATTTATGGTATTTATTGAAAAATGAAGGTATTTCATTAGAATATGATCAAAGGAAGGCAATAGTAGGGGTAATTCCATATAAAGAAGGGAAAATAGACACAAAAATATTAAATGATTTAATTTTTGATTAATAATTTGAGCAAAATGAGGAATAAAAAGTTGATATTTGGGAAACAAAAAAAGATAAAAATATACTTATTAGTGAAGATGTGAAAGATCTATATATGGAATTAAGAAAAGAGTTTCTTATTTATATTAAAAAACATGAAATTCCGCTTATTCTATTGTTTAAAAAATTCGATTAGGGAGATGATGATTAGATTTCTTTTAATGAATTTTTATAAGGAATTAAATAATTGTTTCCTGATGTAGATGTTAATAATTTGGATATTGTCACTGCTGTTTTTAATAAATTTGATGTTAATTAAGACTCTTAAATTGACTTTTAAGAATTTAAGGCTTGTGTTTAAGATGAGTTTTTGGAATTTTAAATAAAAAATAGATTAAAGAAAATTAAAAAAGTGTTTTTTTTTGTTTTTATTTTTTAATTTAATTTTGTTTTTTTTCTTATAAAGGTTTTTTAAATTAATAGTGAAGAAGATGTGAATTATTAATTTGAATAAATTGATTTAAATAAAGATGGGTATCTTTGTTATTAAGAATTTATGTAAGCTTTAAAAATGATAGATTTTAGATTAACTGAAGAAGAAATAAAAGTATTTTATTATATAAAATAAATTATATATTTATATATATGTAAATATATATATATATATATATAAATATATTATATTTTTAATATATTAAAGAGTCTTTTTGAATATTTTGATAAAGAAAATCAACAAAAAATAAGTTATCATTATTTCATGAATATTTTATATGAAGATCATTTAAATTTCGAGAAAATTAGATAGAAAATATTACAAAAATTGGAAAAAGATGGAATTTCAATCGATTAATTTTTAAAAAAATATATTTTAGAGAAAAATATAATTAATGAAAATTCACTTAAAAAAATGATGAAAGACCTTAATTTCCTGTTTGATGATGAATAAATATAAGAGCTTTTTGTATTTATAGATGATGATAAAAACTTATATATTAGTTTAGAAGAATTTAAATAAAAAATGTTTGATTGTAAAATTAATATCTAATCTATTCTTGTTAAACTTAGAAGAGCTATTGTTTAAGTTTAATTTGATATTGAAGAAGCAATCACATCTAAGAAATAAGTTATTGGTTATTAATAATGGGTTTCGATTTTTAAGCTTAATAATATTTAAATCAAACCTTATGAATTAGAAGGTATATACAAACATTATTCATAAAATAATTCAAGAGAATTCAATATAAAGTAATTTTTATTAATTTTTGTTTTGTTTTGATTATTTATTTATTTATTAAAAATAGATAATTTTTAATTGATTTATAAGTAAATAATTTTAACATTTAAGATGTCAGGGAGAAAATATTTTTAATGTGTAGAAAATATAAAATCGAACCTGATAAATTATTTGAACTTTTTGATGAAAAGAAAGATAATTCTTTAGATTTACATGAATTTGCATAAATGTTATTTAATTTATAAATAAACTTTTCTGATGATGAATTAAAAGAAGCTTATTAAGTATTTGACTAAAATAAAGATGGCGATATAAGTCCTTAAGAATTTCGTTAAATAGTAGAAGGGTTGGCAGGATCAAATAATGCTTATATTCCTTAATTAATAAATTAGAATTATTATAAATAATAATAAATGAATTATCAAAATATACACGAATTATTAAATAAAACTGGATTTAATCCTAATGCACCTGCTAATATTGTTTAATAGCATAAAGAATTAAATACTTAATAAATATAAATAAAAGGTTAAAAAGATAGTAATAATAATAGTAGAAATTTATCACCTAAAAAATATCGTGCTAGTAAAAACTAATCATCATCTGAAAATTCACCTAAATAAGGAAGTTATGAAAAAAAAGAAAAGAAAAAGAAAAAAAACTAAAAAAGTCCTTCCTAAATTAGAAATGGACTTTAAGTGTTTAATTTTAAATAATATTTATAGTTAATAAGTAAATATGGAATGGAAGATACTGGAAAAAGTATTTTCTTTATATTTTGTTAATACGATGAAAATAAAAACTTTTAAGTCTATTTGCCAGGAATACTTTAACTTTTTGAAGATTTATCAATCAAAGTCAATCAATAACATGTTGGAATGTTTTTTTAAGCTGGATGTTTTAATAATGATGGAATTTTTCATTATATTTAAATTTTAAAAGAATTTTATTAACCTTAAATTCTTTTGTAAAATATTATCTGTTATTCCATAAAAGTTAATAATATGACTATTTAAGAATATTTTGAAGTTGTAAGATAAAACAGTTAATAATAATAAAAAAATTCTTAATTTTGGAGTTTTATTGAAATATTATTTTTAAATGAAAATCTAAATTTAAAATTAGAAAATGAATATTTATTAAGAGGTTTTAGTTAATTATTTGGAAATTAAAAGATCATTTCTTTCCAAAAGTTTAAAGACATAATGGAATAAAATGAGATTTTTTAACAAGGAAAAAAAATTAATAATTTAGATTCAGTTTTAGAAGATTAAAATGACGATTAAACAGTAGAAAAGTATTATAATGAGTAAGAATATACTGATGCTATGAAGATTTTATAAGAGAAATATTTCATTAATATTTTGCATATTTTTAGTAAATATGATTATAATAAATAATATTTGCTTTAAGATATTTCTGATCTTGCCCAAGTTTTTAAAATACTTCATATTGATATAAATCATAAAAATCTTGTAATATTATATAATTCTTATTAGGATGTTAATGGAAAATTTTGTTATTTATACTTATTGAAGAAATTTATTAAGTATTTTTTTTATATATAAAAAATATATATTTATTTTTAATATGTTAAAAATATATATTTTTTTTTATAGTATTATATATGTTTTTTCGTCAGTTATTTTTAGTATTTTGATTAACAATTAATTAAAAATAAAAGAGTTTTTTGAAAAATACAAATAATTAACCAATATGACTTTAGCTTGGAGTATAGATGAATTTTATGCTATAAATAAATAATTTAATTTGTAATATTCAGTTAGTTAATTAGAAGATTTATTAGAATAATGGAGTTCTAAATAACGCGGAAAAATATTTATTAACGATCTTGCTACTGGGTTAGGTATAGGAATTGATAATTCTCCTTAAACTATATAAACTATTTTAAATGATCAAATAGATAAAAGCTTTAAAAAATTAGCTTTGTCTTAAAAAGAAATATAAAAAGAATATTTATAAGAAAGATAACTTTAAATGATGAGATAAGGACAAAGAGAAAACTTTGATAACATAAGTAAAGAAAAAATAAAGCAATATATATTTGCTTTAACTGAATATATTCAACAAACTAACTTCTTTGATCCTTTTGAATCTATGTAAAGAAACGGATAACTTTCTTTCAAAGAAATTTATGAAGCTTTAAAAAATGGATACCCTATATTTTAATCATAGGAAGATATTAAATTATTAGCAAGTAAATTATATTATATAAAATTTTTATTTTGTTTAACAAAACATAAAATAAAAAAAGATTGGTTTGTAGCTGATGGACCTATTCTTTTAAGTGAATTAAAGCTTTTATTAAAATATGAAGATTTATAGGAGAATAGTTAAAAGGAAAATAACATCAATTAAAAATAAGTAAGATTTTAAGATTCTATAAAGAAATAAAATGAGGAAAAAAGCAAGAAAAAAATTCGAATAAATGAAAATTAGGCTCGATCATCTTTATAAAATCTCAAAAATGCATTTAAAAATAACATAAATTTAATGTTGAATATCTTTTTTCCAAAAGATGAGTAAAATACATCTATTACAAAGCAAGACTTTATCGAAGTATGTACGAAAGCTACCTAAAACATAGACAAAGAAGATGCGAAAAATCTATTTAATTATATAGATGCAAATATGTCAGGAGCAATATCCAAAAACGAATTAAAATTATAATTTGGTGATATTGAAAAATCTACAGATAAGGAAAATAAAAGCGCAAATGATGCAAGGTAAGCTATAAAATTAAGTTAAGAAATAGAAGATTAAATTCGAAACATATTCAAGGAAGTAGATAAAGATGGAAGTGGATATGTTGACCTAAATGAATTTGATGGACTTTTAAGAGCCGTAGGTATTAATGTAAGCTAAGATGAATAACTTAATTATTTTAATAGATTTGATAAAAATAATGATGGCTAAATTTCTTTTTTGGAATTTAAAATTATTTTAGAAGAAAAAATTAAATAAGAAATTCTTACTGCAGAAGATATTATTGATGATCTTAGAAAAGAATTTTTCAAAGTTGATTTGTATAAAAAAAGAGTTATTAATTTTTATTAATTAGGGTAATTAATATTTTCATATTAATTTTTTGTTTTCTAAAATTAAATAAAATATATTATTTAGATAAGTTTTGAGTAATCTTAATGTAAACATTTCTTAAAATGAACTTGAAGAAATTTTTAAAGCTATTGATATAGATTAATCTGGGTTTATTGATATAGATGAATTTCTTACTTTCCTTATGAAAAATAATTGTTAAGTTTCTTCTTTAGCTTCATCTGTGGCTTTAAATGTATTTTTTTTAACAAACAAAAATATATAAACAAACAAAAGATTCGTTCATAAAGATCATTAAATATAACAGATATGAAAATATTATTTGATTGTTTACCGAAAAATTTCCAGATATCATTTTTAAGAAAATTGACTAAATAAAAAATAAACCTTCCGAGTAGTACATTGCGTCCTAAAATAACAAATGTATAAATCTACGAAGACTTCATTTATGATAGAAATGCTTTTTTAAATAAAAAACCAAATCAAAACTTCTTAAATTCTGTTTTGTAAAAAAAGGTAAGTCCTTAATCAGAAGAAATTAATGTAGAAATTAAGCTTGATTATGCAACTGGAATTCCTCTTCCTAAAGATGATATTCCTCCTGAAAGTATTGTCTATAGACAGGTTTATATCAATATTTTTGATACTAAAACATAATAATTCATTTCTAATACTTGCAGAATGTAAGCTCGATGGGATCCTAATTATGAAGATAGATGGTATATATTTATATTTTTAAAAAATAATTATAATATATATATAAAAAAAAGGTATTTTAAAATAAAATAAATACCTTCAGAAAGTACATTTTTTCTAAGAAATAAAATATATAATTAATAATTGAATCAAGATTTATAAGTTTGCTTTGAATTTGTCATCAATGTTCGATTTTAAAATAATGAGAAAAAATAAGAAAATTCTAAACTCGAAAAACTTAAAAAAAATTATAATTTATAATACTAAAAATAAGATAATATTAAAAATACTTCACCTGATATTGAAATTTCATGTTGTTATGGAATTTTACCTTTATATTAGCTTTTTTAACAAGGTGCGGTTAAATAAATGTATATTTTAGAAGGTTTGAAATAAATTTAACTCCAAGGAGGATCCCCTTATAGAGTTTTGTAAATATAAAAATAAGATATAAAAGCTAACAGAGCAGGTTGGAGAAACATAATTAAGACAATAACAAAATAAATAACTACTACGTTAAGAATATATGTAAAATAAGCTAGTCAGTAAGATTTATTAAGTTTATCGGTTCTTCCAAATATTATTATTTTGCCAAAGCTTTCTTTGAATTTGGTTAAAAGTTTTAGAGAATGGATAGGAATAAAGTCAATAAAAGAAAATATGGAAGTAAATACTAATATGCATAATTTATTAGAAGTAAAAACTTTTACCAAATGTGTTGATTGTCCTGATATTTTTTAGGAATTTTATACTTTTTGGAATGAATAAATAATGTAATTTTATATTATTTATTATAGATATATAAATATATATATAAATAAATATATATATATTTTTATATATATATATATATATATATATATATATATTACTAAATTTAATAAGTAAATGCATTCAAAAATTCGATTTGGAAATGAAATGTATTGAGGTATGTTTGTAATAAATTTATGTAGTTATTAATAATAATGGATTTAGATTTTTAGATTTTGATCCCGCTTCTTGTTTTTACACACATCCTTAGTTAGTTGAAACTAGAAAAAAAATACTTTAGGCTGCTTTTAAAGATGCGAAAATATTATTGAAATTAGAAGATGGAATTGCGTATTTTTTATATATTTTTTTAATATTTTCTTTAATATTATTTATCAGGAATAATCTATAATTAAGATATAATTATGAACCGTTCAATATTTAATAAATATTAAGTGATGATGAAGAAGAGAATATGTAAATGATGCAACATTACTTTAATTAGAAAGATTAGTTATAATAAACGTTATTAAATCCCTATAAAATTAAATGAAATTTTTATATTAATTAACATATAAATATATATAATTTATTTATATAATTTTATCGAAGTTTACTGTATTTATATAAAAATTTTAATGAAATTCTTTGTGTTTTAAAAAAAATTCTATATATTTTTTTATGATTTTAATTAATATTTTTTAATAAACTGAATAGAAAATAACATATTAAAATTATTTAATTTTTTTTTTATTCTAATATGCATTTATATTTATTTATTTTAATATATATTATATTTTTTTATTTAAATAATATACATAATATTTATTTAATTATATTTTTTTTTTTATTAATTTTTATTTTATTTAGATTTTTAATTGTTTTATATTTAGATTCTACTAATTTTATTAATAAAGATGCTAAATATAAAATATATATATATATATATATATATAGATATATATATAAATATTATATCTATATATATATATATATTTATATAATTATTTATTTATATTATTAATAAAAAAAGGATTAAAGAAATGATAAAATTTAAATAATTTTAATAAAAGAAAAAACTTTAACATAAAAAAAACAATTTATTCATTATTTCTCCTTTTATTTTTTTTTATTTTATTTATTGTTATTTTTAGTTTTCCTTTCATTAACAATATTTCTTACTCTTTTAAAATAAATAAATAAAAATTAATAATAAGAATTTAAAAAAAAAAAAATACTTTCAAATCATTATTATTATTATTATTATTATTAAGCACTTAAGAGTAAGTTTTTAGCAGCAGGGTCTTCAGGGGCACCATCTCTACCAGTAGATCTTTCTCCCTTTTTATCATGAGTGTATAATTCGGCGAATTTTGCGGCTTTATTTTTATAAAAACACATATATAAATAAAAAAATTTATATATATATACCATCAAGTTTAGGTCTTTTTAAGACTTTGACTTTTTTAATAGTAATATCTCTAAGGGGGAAAACGCTCTTGGTATCTTTTTCCATTTTATGGACATAATCATCTGAGATAAGCTTTTTGGTGAATTCAGAAATGTTAGCTTTAGCAGCTTCGTTAGTAATATAAGTGTTAATTTTCTTTCTAATAGCTCTTACTTATGATGATTTAGCATAACAGGTAGAACCAGCAGATTTTCCTCCGAATTTTTTAGTGAATGCAATAGTGAATACTCTAACAATGTATCCGTCTGCAGTTTTACAATCAACTCTGCTTTCAATCAAAGTTTACCATTTTCTAATCATACTGCATAATTTATCTCTAGTAATATCTAATCCGTAAAATGAGGTTTTAGCGTTTCTTCCTTCTACTTCATCAATAACTAATTTAACTTTTCTCCTAAATAATGATATATTATTAAACACATATATTTATATATATATTATTTTTTATTTACCAATGTAAATTATTGCTTGAATCCTTCAAATCAGCTAAAGTAGATTCGACAACTCTTCCTTTAATTTCGTCGGATGCAATTCCTTTTTTTAATTTGGATTTTTACTTATTGAATTTTTTTTTTTAATATTTACTATTTCCTGAACTCTTTGTTACTAAAGTTTTACCAAAACTCTTAGAAGAAAAGGGAACTGGAGCTCTGAAGTCGTACCATTCTTTTCTTGAAAGAGGGTCAACGTTTCTTTTTTTAGATCCTTTTTTACCTCCCTTAGTTAATCTTTTATTTTTTCCTTAAGTCATTTTTTTTTTAAAATTTTTTTTGTTTTGTTTTAATAATTATAAATTTTTTTTTTCTTTTGTTTTTTTTTTATTGTACTTTTATTTTTTAAAGATTTTTATACCAATTTTATTTATAAAAAATGATATAATTTTGTATTTTTTATTTAATAAAAAAATAAAAGTAATATTTTTTTAATTTATTTTAATATAAATATAATTACTAATACATAAATATTTAAAATTTATAAACCTAATTTAATACTTTACTTATATAAACATATTATAATGTAAATAAAATTTATAAATTAGAATATATATCTAAAAATATATCTATTTATATTAAAATTATTTTATTATAAATATACATATTTAGGTTTGTATAGTTGTAAAAAAAAAATATTTATTATTAAAAAATACTTTTTTTTTTAAATAATAAAATAAAAATATGATTGTTAAATTTATAAATTTAAATAACTTTATAAGTTTCTCTTTGAAAAAATTAAAAAAACACATTGAAAAATTTTAGTTAACGAAAACATCACCTTAAGTAAATATTAGGATTATATAAATAATGTTCCTTTTTTGAAAGATTTTTAATGAAAAAGTAAATTTAAACAAATTATATTAAGAAATTTATATATTGGAAGATATATTATTAATAATAAAAAAAAGAAAATGTGACAAACAAGGAAACAAACATACAGTAATAACATAATAAATCCATAAATAAATATAAAATAAAAATCTTATTTAAAAATAAAAAACTACTAAATCATGTAATAGGATATAATTGGAATAATATGTGTATATGAATTAAAAAGATAATTATTTAAAAAAAGCAAGAATTATTAAATAGAAATAAATAGAATTTTTAGAATAAAAAAATATATAGATAAATAGAATTTATTACTTTAAAAATATTGTATAATAAAAAGAAACAATTTTATTATTATTAATAAAAATTATGGGATTTTTTTCTTACATAATGATTACTTTCATATAAATAGTATCTTATTAATTAAGATATTCATAAATAAAATGATTTATATATAAATCAATTTTTTTATTAATTTACGACTATTCATTTTTAAAGAAAGCTTTAGTTATTAAAGATTAAAAGATAATTTTTAATTTAAAAATTTGATAAAAAAATCATAATTCTAAGTATTTATTAACTAGATATAACTAAATAACTAAAATGAATATTATGATTATAAGTTTAAATATTTTTTAATTTATATGTTTTTTATCTTAAATTTATGACTTTTAAAAATATTAAAATAGAATTAATATTACAATTTCTTTTTTTAAAAAAATAATAAAAATATATATATAATTAATATTTTATAAGAAATATACTCTAAAAATATTATAATGAATAACGAATAATTTTATGATGAAATAGATATTATAAATGATATGTAAATAATTAAATAAACAACAACAACAAAAATAGATTTTTTTTAAATATTAGATACTCAAAAGATAATATATAATATTTAAAAAAAAATTAGAATTTACCTCTTTTAAAAAATAAAGTTTAAAATTATGCCTATTTAAATTCAAATTCAAGCCGAAAACAGTAAAAAACAAATAATGAGATTTCAGATATTTGGGAAAATGATATCTTACCTTAAATAAAAGAATAATAAAACCGAAAAAAAAAAAAAAAAATTTAGAAGAAGATTTACCAAATATTTCAAAAGAAAAAAGCCCTCCAAAAAAATTTTTCAAAAACGATAATACTATAGACTAATTATAAATAGAAAACATATAAAAAAAGAAGAAGGAGAAGGAGAAGAAAATAATAATTATGAATAATATGAAGAAGAAAATAATATATATAGTTATGAATAAAAAGAAGTAGAATATAAAGAAAACGAAAATAATGAATATCTTTAATTAAAGGATAATTTAAGCAATATTTCTGATTTACCAACATTAAATCCATATAATTAAATATAAATTGAAGAAGAAAATAATGAATAAATATAAAATAAATAATTAAAAAGTACTCAAATATAAAAAACCAATGGATTAATATAAAAAAGCAATAAAAAAAATATTTAAGGAAATAAATATAATGCCCCTAAAAATTAAATAAATAATAGATCTAATAGTGCTTAAAGAAATAAAGTAATAAACATAAATTAATAATAATATAATAAAGAATGTAAATAAATAAAAATTTTAGTTATATTTTTCATTATTATTATTATTATTTTTAAATAAAAATAAGCAAGAAGTAACTCTTTTGATAGATAATTTTAAGTTTTAAATAGTAAAAAATAAAAAATCTAAAATAATATATATTATTCTTTCTTTTTTTTGGTTTTTTTTTTTATATTTATGAAAAAGTGGAAAACTTAATGAAAGAAAAAAATTATTAAAATTTCACTTTAAAAGATTTAAAAGAAGAAAATAATTTACTTAGATAAAAATTGATTGAAATTAATTCCAAATTAAATCAAAAGATTCAAACGGCTTAAATATAAGTAAAGGGATACCATTTTTAAAAAGAAACATCATTTGATTATCAAAAAAAATAGGCTTCTGAAGTTGAAAATAATACAAAGATTATAAAATCTTACGAAAATGAACTTTAGAAGTTAAAAGAAAGGCTTTAAGTATTCTAAAATCCAAATTATACATAACAGTTAGATGAAAAAGTGTAAGCTATGAAATCTTTGATAGAAAATACGAAGAAGAATATGAAATAAATGAAGGTAGAGAATGATAAATAGGGTAAAAAATTAACAGAAAACAAAAATGTTGAATAAATGAGCAAAGAAATAATGTAAATAAAGAAGGAAATATAATAAAATTAACAAAAGAAAGACCAAAATGAGAAAAAATACTTAGAAATATAAAATTAAATAGAAGAAATATTAAAAATATAAAACTAAACTTAAGAAAAAATAAAAGAAAAAGAAGAATTTATGAAAATGAATAATATAGAACTATAATATAATAATAAAAATGAAAAGATGTAAAAGCTTTTAAATATAAAAAAACAATTAGAAACTATAAAAAAAATGAAAAAAACAAAAGAAAGTATTTTTAATAACGAATTAGAAGATTTAAAAAAAAAAATTAAAGAAAAAGAAGAAGAAATTAATAAAAAAAATTAATTTAAATAAGATTTTTAATTTAAAGTTATCTAAATTTTATAATGGAAATAAATTGAAGATTATAAATTTAAAAAAATACAAGAAATTTTTTATGATAATAATCGAAAAATTTAAAGTAAAGCTTCTTCAAGGAATTTAAGTCCGTTAAATTCACCAAAATATTAGTTAAGTAATAAATAATCTTAATAAAGTATTGATATTTCGGAATTTTAATAATAAGAAATTATTATATAATAATAAAAAGATGATAAAATTGATGAATTTAGTAAGCCTTTTGTTTTTAATAAAATGTAAAAGGCAATAAAAAATGATTATTTGGAATAATATATTGTTAGTAATAAAAATTATTAAACTTAAAACATTAAAAAAGAATTAGAAAATAATAATTAATAAAATAATGAACATATTTTAGGAGGAGATGAATTTAAACCTAAAATGTATAATTTCAAGAAGAATAATAAAGAAAAGTAATAATAATTATATAAATATTTAATAAAATATATAATCTTAAAAAAATTATAACAAATTTAAATAATAAAGTAACGAAAATACAGAAAACTAAAATTAAGAAAGCCTAAATCAATATAAAAAAAAAGAAAATAAATAAAAGGAAAATTAATAAAATATATAAAAGCCTTATATAACTAGAATTAGAAAAACCTCTGCTAGAAATTAGTAAAAAAAAAGAAAGAAAATTAAGATTTGGATAATATAAATAAAATATAAAATAAGGAAAAGTTCAACTTGAATTCTTTATTTGATAATATTCAAATATAAAAATAAGAAAATTTAAATAATAATTAATAATAAAAATAAGAATTAGAAAATCAAAATACTGAATAATAAAAAGAAAATACAGAGTATTATTCTTAGATAAAAAATGAAGATTAAAATTATAATAAAAATAAATAAAAATAATTAAATTTTAATGATAGTATTGAAAAAAAAACAATTTAGATAACGATAACGATTAAAAAAATAAAAACTAAGAAATAAAAATTATTTAAAAATATGAATCTTTTTTAAAAACAAATGAAAAAAATACAAGAAATAAAGATTAAATTTTAAATAAAACTAAAAATCATTAAAAAAGAAATATTTTCGGATAATATACTATTCCGTTTGATCTTGATGTACCATAAATGATAGGAGAAAATTTATAATAAATATAATAAAATATAAGTTAAATAGAAAAAAAATTAAAAATTAAAAGTAGAATGTATAATATATAAGTGATGAAGAAGACTTAAATTTTTTAGAATAAGATAATAAAAAAATTATTTATGAAAATGATAAGGATATATTAAAATAAAATAAAAATAATAATTAAAAAAAATCAAATAAGAATATTATAAATAACCTTATAAAATAATGTAATATATTTATAATAAAAAAAAATAATAATTTAATTTTATATATATTAAATTTAGGAGAAATAATAAATTATAAGAAATATCAAAAAAGATATTATAAAAGAATAGAAAAATTTTGATAAATAGATGTATTATATAAATTATAAATTATAAAAATAAAAATATAAATATGTAAAAATATAAATATATATATTTTATATATTTTTAAATTTTATATGTTCATATTATTTTTATATAATCAATATTTTTAATTTTTATTTACATATATAATTTTTTTTTTTTATGTCAATTTTTTTTTTATAATAAAAAAATATTTTATTTTAATTATTATTTATTAATATTTTAATTTATAAATAAATATTCTAAAAAAATCATTATATATATTCATCCAGAATTATACAATTTTTTAATTTTTCTTCATTATACATTTATTTATATTATTCAATAGTAATTAATTAATTAATTTCTTCACTTTCTAAATCGCCTTAAATAATATTTGGAGGCCTTATAAAATATAATATAATAATAATTTATAAAAATAAAATAAAATACCATTAATATTATGTAACATTAGGCGCGTTTCCACCAAATTTTTATTCTACTTAGATTTTATTGCAATGTTTAAATAAATCAGAAGGACAGTTTGATTTAATAATGTTAACTTTATTTACAGTATTTTCTTCAAGGAAATGCTAAACAGCTTTCCAAGGAATCCAAACTGTATTAGAGCAATTAACGCAATATAATTTATACATTCTAGCTCTATAATTAGATTATAGGAATTTTATAATCTTTTCAAATTTCTATATTTTATAAAATAAAAAAAAATATTAGATTTTTTGTTTTGTTTTACAAATATAGGTAAAGAAAATAGTCCAGTATTATTAAAATCTAAAATAATAACCCAGTTTTCAACTTATCCTGGTAAAAGCATATTATTTATAACAACTTCAAGAAAGTAAGAAATATACAATATCATTTTATCTTCTTCAAATTATTTAAAATCTAATTTATAAGCATTTAATACCATAATAGGCCTAAATCTACTATCTCTTCCATGAAGATATATAATTCCTGAAGTCAAAAATTTATATATTTCATCTTAATTTTTTATTAATTCATCGGAATATAATTGTGATAAAGTCGCCTATCTCCATGTATTATGACTTTTTGCACTCGCTATTGTATTTTGGTAGTTATATCCACTGGCTTATATAAAACGCATTTTATTAGCCTTATTCCAATACTTATAATCATTAAATACTTCTTAGTCTTGTGTATTTTATTATAATTAATTTTCAAACTTTTAATACTCTTAATTTTCGAAATCTGTGTATTAGGAATTACCTTCAAAATACCAGCGATTTCCTTTTATACCTTCTCCATTAATTTATTAAGAAACTTTTTTTAAATTTTAAAATAATATATAATTATTTTTATTATCGTTTTACTTGATGGGAAATATAAGTAGGCTTATTTTGGTGGATTTAAAAATTAGTAATTGTTTGGACTTTCTAAATTGTTTTTCATATATTTATTTTTTTTATTAAACAAAAATTATTAAATATTATTTTTTTATTTATTTTGTTAGTAATTGTATATTTTTAAATAGAAAAAAAAAAAGATAAAAAAAATATAAAAATAAAAAAAGATATTTATATAATAATATAAATATATATATTTTTTTTTATTTATTAAATATTAATTAATATATTTTATTATATTTATATTTTTAAATTTTTTAAACCTTACATAATTTATATGAGTTAAAACAGTTAAAATAATGATTATGAACAATATGAAGACTAATACAATATATAATGTAAATAAAACATAATTAAACAAAGCAAAATTTATTAACTATTAAACAATATTAATAAAATTTATTTTGTAAATTTAATAAATAAAAAAAAAGAAGATAATAATTATAGCCAAGATCATTATAATTCTGAAATAAATAATTAATAAAATAGTGATTAAAATTCTTAATAATTAAATATTCCATAATAAGCCGAAAATTAAATATAATTAAATATAAATAATGTATTTTTATTTTTGATTATAATATATTAATATATTAATTTGTTTTTATTTTTTAATTCAGACATAAATTATCTTCAAAAGATAAGATAATTCTATTGATTTAAAGCTTTTTATTGGATAATTGCCTAAAATATGGTATTCTTTAATTAATTTTTTTATATATATTTAAATATAAAATGGGAGTTTAAATATAGTTTATATCTTAAAAGAGTTAAAAATACTAATAAATAACATACATATAATTATGTATAGTTATAGACATAAATAATTTCAAAAAAATAAATAAAATAAAATAAAAAACACATAATTTTAATTTTAAAAAATCAAATTAATTTATCAAAAATAAAATTTCAAAAAATATAAATTATTAATAAAAAATAGGGAAAAAGAATAAATAAAAGACTTCTTTACAAAATATGGGAAAATATATGAAGTATAAGTAATAAGGGATGCAAAAGGGTAACATAAAGGCTGTGCTTTTGTAAAATTTGCATCAATGACTGACGCTGAAAGGGCAATATAAGATTTAAAAAACAAACCTTTATCAGGAGTTTATATATATATATATATATATAAACATATATTTATTCCTTTACTTATATCTAAAAGATGAAAAATAATATAGAAATAAAATGGGCTGATAATGAGGAAGAAAGATTAGGTGTTAACTAAGATTCTGATCATAAATTATTTATAGGTTCATTACCAAAAACTTGTACAGAAGTAATATATTTGTTTATTTTTTGTTAATAAAATAATAATTAAAAAAGTAAAATATAAGAGATATATTTGAAACTTTCGGAGAAATAGAAGAACTTCATTTAATGAAAGATAGCTAGAATAATACTAGATAAGCTTTTTTAAAATATAAATTAAAAGAAAAAGCGCATTTAGCAATAAGGAATTTGAATTCTTAAGTTTATATAGGAAATTCTGAAAATCCAATTGAAGTTAGATTTGCAAAAAAATATATTGAACCAGAACATACAAAATCAGTTTTTTTTTATTGAAAAAAAAATAAAAAATAATAATATTAATTTTATGTTTTTATAAAAAAAAAAAAGATTATACCATAAAAAAAGAATGATGTTCCTTAAGTTAATGTAAAATTAAAATAAATAATAATAAATTAAATTATTTTAAATTTTTTTTTTAGTGGCAAAAAATATATTTTAAATATTATACTGAGGATAATATAGGATATTATTATCATCCTTATACAAATTCTAGCAGTTTCGATAAACCATAAGCTGGATCTTTAATAAATGATATTGATGGATCAACTGAATTCATAGAAGCTAACCCTATATAATAACTTTTAATGTAGAAAAATGAAGTTTTTGTTATTAATGATAGAAAAGATGTTTGTAAATAATTTTATTAATATTTTTAAAATATAAAAATTAAAAAAAAAAGATGATGGGAAAAAGCATGGTCCTCCAGGTTCTAATTTATTCATTTTTCATCTTCCTACTGATTTTAGAGATTCGGATCTTGAAAGACTTTTCGGTTAATTTGGAGAAGTTATTTCTGCAAGAGTAAATACTAGACCAGATGGTACTAGCAAAGGATTTGGTAATTATTTATTTAGAAAATAAAAAATTAAATATTTTTTTTTCTTTTTTCTAGGTTTTATTAGTTATAATTCTGCAAAAGAAGCTGAAGATGCAATTAATAATTTGAATGGATTTTAACTAAAAAGTATTTTTTAATTATTTGTTTTTTGTAATTTATTATATTTTTTATGTTTAGATAAAAGATTAAAAGTAGAAATAAAAAAAGAATAAAATACATTACATTCTTCTTCTTTTTAGAATAATTTTAATCCGTTTTGAGAGAAGGATAAAAAATAAAAAAAATTAATTTAAAAATAAAAAATTTCTGAACAGTAAGAAAATCGCATTAAAATAAAAAAAAATATATAAAAATAAATTAAAATCATTAAATTTATTTATTCTTTCATTTTAATATTATATGAATATAAAAAGTATATATTTATCTATATCCTTTTTGTTCAAAAATTTGTTTTTTATTCAATTTATTTTGTTTATATTTTTTTCATAAATTTTATTTTTTTCTAAATATCAGTATATTTTATTATACATATTTATAAACATTTATGTGTAAAAACGTTAAAATTAATCATATAATACGAGTATTGATATTTTTGTTTTGTATTTTGATTTTAATAAATTTATAAAATTTTTATAAAAATTATAATATTAATATTTAAAAAATATAAAATTTTTTAAATATAATAAGTTTAATTGTATAATGAAAAAATAAAAAAAAAATTATAATTAATATTATATATAAATATGAATATAAATAATATAATATATATATATATATATATATATATATATATATATATATATATTAATTTATTTTATTATATTAATATTTAACATTTGAAAATTTATTTATTAATGAATACTAATAATTAATATAAATTCTTTTCTTTTTGTTTATATAGTTATAAATTTATTATATATGATTTTTATTTATATAATTTTTTTTTTTTATTTATTTATATTTAATTTTATATATATCTTTTTTATAAATAAATTTTACTTTTTTTTTTTTTTTTTTAATATTAGTTTGTTCTTTTTTTAATCAACTAAAATTATATTCCTGCTTTACAAAGTAATGTAACATAAAAAATAATTTTTTTCAAAACTAGCTTCCTTCGCTATTAAAACCACTTTGTAAGCTCCTATATTTATTTTTCATCTCTTCAATATATTTTTTTTTTTATATGTAATTTATAATTAACTTTTTATTTATAATCTTTTAATTGTGTTTAGTTTATTTTTTCTTAAGTAATTAAAGTGTAATTTTTTTTTATATATTTAAATCACAACATCCATATGATTTTTAATATAACTAGTTTATATTGCTGTATGTTTTGTTTTGTTTCTAAATTGCTTATATTAAAATGAGTCCTTAGATCGTTATTGAATATATTATTTAAAATTTTCTAATGTTTGAAATATAATTAAATAAATATTGCATTTAATTTTTTAATTTTTTTAGATTAAATAAATATCTTTTTCTTATATTGGGATTTTTATACATTAAAATTTAAACATAATGTATTTTATGAACTTTTTAAATTTTATTTTTTAATTTTATTTAATATTTTATAAGATATTTTAATGATTTTCACAATATAATTATACTATATATTTTTTTATTCTAAATACTTAATAAACTTTTACTTTTATTTATTTTAATATAATGTATAATATTTTATTATTATTTAATAAATGTTTTTTTTTTTTTTTAGATAATGTTTTTTAATCTACTATATATATTTGAGTATTATAAAAAATTAATTTTTTTATTTTTGAAATTTTATTGTATATATTATAATAATGTATTTTATTATTTTTGTAAAACTATATTTATTCTTTAAATAATTTTAATATAAAGCAAAAAAAAAAAAAATATTTATCAAATTTTATTAAAAATACTTTTATTATTTTTTTTATTTATTTAATTTAAATTGTTTATAAATTTAACAAACATAAAATTATATATTTTTATTTTAAAATTATTAAAACATTAATCATTTAAAAAGGATTGAATGTAAGATTAAAATAATGAAAAGCAGTAATTGTTAATAGGATAAATAATATAAGAAAAGAAAAAAATAAAATGAATTAATGGATAACAAAAGCTTCATATGAAATATAAACGAAATTAGGTAAAGGTGGTTTTGCGAAAGTGTATTTAGCAAAAGAAATATAAACTAATTAAAAATATGCTATAAAAGTAGTAGAGAAGAAATCTCTTATAAAAGATTCATTTAAAGAAAAAGTATTTTTTGTTATATTTTTTTTTAAATTATTATTTATTAGTTTAAACAATATAAAAAATATTTTTTTTTAATAACAAAAAGTTAAAATAAGAAATAAATTTTTAAAAAATACTTGATCATGAAAACATTGTAAAATACTATAAATCTTTTGAAGATTAATATTTTGTTTATATTATTTTGGAATATTGTAGTAATTAAGTAATTTTTAAATTTTTTTTATTATTAATAAAATATTTACTTTTTTAGAGTTTTAAAGAATTATTAGATAGAAGAAAAAGACTAACAGAAATTGAAATTAAAAGCCATTTAATTTAAATGATAAAGTCACTTTAATATAGTCATTCTAAAGGAGTAATTCATAGAGAGTAATATATTTATTTATTTTGTTCAAAATAAAAAATAAATTATAAATAAAGTTTAAAAATAGCAAATATTTTTCTTAACCATAATATGGTTGTTAAATTAGCAGATTTCGGATTATCTGCTTTTATAGAATTTCCTTAATAAAAAAGAATGTAATTTTTTATATTATTTATTTTTATTTTAACAAAAATTATTCAAGGACTGTTTGTGGTACTCCTAATTATATTGCCCCTGAAGTTTTAAAAAAATTAGGACATGACTATATGGTGGATATATGGGCTTTGGGTGTAATTACTTATACTTTTTTAATTGGAAAACCTCCTTTTGAAGAAAAAGAGGTTGAAAATACTTTAGCAAATATTAAAGCAAATAGATACAAATTTCCTGTAAAAAATTATTAATAATATATATATATTTAAATAATTATTAAAGTAAAATATAGAAATTTCAAGAGAAGCTACAGATTTTATAAAAAAAGCACTAAATTAAAATCCTGAGGAAAGATTAAGCTTATAAGATATGTTAAATCATTCTTTTTTATAAAGTGAAATTTATGAAATACCTATTACTTTGCCAAACAGTACTTTGGCTTTGCCTCCTACTTAAATTTATTTAAAGAAAATATTAAAAAATCAAATTGAAAATGTTTAAAACGAAAGTAATATTTTAATGTCTGAATATTAGGATAATTAAAAAATATTAAATTAAAATATTTTGGTGATTGATTATATTGATTGTAATAACAACTTTTATTTATCATATTATTTAAACAATGGTAATACTGGAATTATATTTAAAGATAATTCTCATGGAATTTTATTGTAAAATGAGTAATAAAAAGATATATATATGTTATTTTATTATTTTATTTGTTAAAAAAAAAACTATTTTTTTATTAGAAACTTTTTATTTTCTTAAAATATAAATTCGATAAATGATTATATTAGCTTTAATAAAAACTAAATTCCTGAAAAGCTTGCTGCTTAATACTCATTAACTTATTAAATAAAATAATTTTTCTATAATAAAAATTTGATTATAGTATTTTTATATATTTAAAACTTTAAATTTATATGTTTATTTAAAGAATTCCGAACTTAATAAAATATAGGATTGTTAAGAAATAAAATAGATATTTATAAAAAAGTTTTAAAATAGTAATTAAGCTTCAGTTTTTAAGTTTAATAATCAAAATTTATAAGTAATATTTTATGATAAATCCTAAATATTTATAGAATAAAAAAGCAAAAATATATATTTTAAAGATAAAAATGGTATTTTGTAAATTTATGATATTAAAAATTATAAAGATATACCGAATAAATTAACAAAAAGAATTATTTATATTAAAAATAATTTTAATAAAAAAATTAAGAAATTAATTAATACTGCTGCATCTACTAATTATTCAAACTAATCAAATGTTTTAATGGATAAATTGATTGTAGGATAAAAGCTTTAGTTCTCTGCAGTTAAGTTATGATAGAAGTTATAGTATTTTTATAGAATAGAAATGTTAATTTTTGAAAAAAATATTTCATAAATAAAACATTTATATTTTAATATATATATATAAAAATAAAATAAAAATTATAATGACTTTTTTAATATAAAAAATATACATAAAATGATTATTTATATAAAATTTATATATTTTAGTAATAAATACATAAATAATTTAATACATTATCTAAAATATATATTTTAAAATATAAATAAAAATATTAAAAAGTAATATAAAAAATTTAATTTAATATTGAAAAGTAAAATAATATCTAATAGTTATTACAAACACGTGTTTTTTGAATCAAATAAATATAAATCTTATTTTTTAAAAAAAATAATAAATAAAAAATAAAAAAAAAATTAAATATATAAAATAAAAGATATATATTTTTTATAACTATGTCTAGCTTTAAAGATTCATTTACAAGAGGGGAAGGAGATTAAAATCTTTAATATGATGATACAGCTTTTTGTTATTTTTTTTTGACTTTTTTAGGGACTGTATAATTAGTCTTTGTATGGAAAACATTAAGCTAACTATTATATAATCCTTTAAAAGATATATTAAAGAATGCAATTAAAAATAAATTTTTTGATTAAAAATTAAAGATACTTCGCCAATAAATAAATAAAAATAAATACAATTCAAGTTTATTTTTTAAAGTAAGAAACAATAAATTAATACCTAAATCTTAAATTTTTTTTTTAAAAAAATAATAAAAAATAAGATACTAATAATAATTGCTATTACTATATTAATATTTAAAACTTACTAAAGTATTCCTGAACAATAAAGTTTAAAACGGTTTGATCCTTATGATATTTTAGAAATAAGCAGATCAGCTACTGATAAAGAAATAAAGAAAGCTTATAGGTATTTTTTAAAATAAATTAAAAAATAAATAAATAATTTTTTAAAAAAATTAGACGTTTAATGATAAAGTATCATCCTGATAAAAATGATGAACCAGATGCAAAACATAAATTTTTATTAATAACAAAAGCACATGAATGTTTAACAGATGAAAAAAAGAAGTAAGCATGTGAAAAATTTGGAAGTCCTGATGGTCCAGGAAGTTTACATGTAGCAATTGCAATGCCTTCGTTTTTATTAAAAAAAGAAAACCATGTTACTATTTTGGCTATATTTTTTTTAGTTTTTATTGTTATTATACCAACTTATGTTATTTATTGGTTTTAAGATAGTGAGAAATTAAATGATAAAGGTATATATAATTATTTATTATTTTAATTTAAAATATGTTATTTAGGTATGTCAAGAGATAATTATGAAATTCTATTATATATTATGAATGAAAACATGCCTTCTAATTAAATTCCTGATATTATTGGTTTTTGTATGGAGTTTAGAAAAATGTATGCTTCGAATTTAGAAAGTAAATAATTGGTTAAAGTATTTTTTTTTTTAAAAAAAAAAAAAATTAAGTTAATAAATATTTTTTATTATTATTATTTAAAAAGTTATATTCCTAAGTTGTTGAATAATTCCCTTAAAAAAAAAAAAACATGTAATAAATAGAAAAGGCTTATGTACTTCTTTGCGCACATATGTTAGGTTTAGAAATTCCTGAAACTTCAAGGGAACAATTAACTTATATTTAAAAAAAAACTCCTGCAATTTTAGATTCAATGATAGATCTATGTTGCAGTTTAGGCTAACCAAGAGGATAATAATATAAATACTTAGGAGGTTAATGCTTATTGAATACAATATTTTTCTAATAACATTTTTATTAGGTTATTTTTTTTATTTTATTTTTAAATAAATATATATATAAACAAAAGGGATTATGGGGAAACAATATAGAAATGAATCAAATAAGTTATTTTTATGAAAACGTAGAATTAAAAAAATCCTAAAAACTCGGTCCATTAAGAAATTTAGTGAAATAAACAAGAGAAGAACGTAAATTGAAAGTTGTTGAAAGTGAATAAGACTTAAAAGAAGTAAATGATGAAATCGATAATTTCCCAAATATAGAAATTTCTTACAAAGTACATGTCCCTGATTAATTGGAATTAACAGACGCAGATATTTATGAAGTGTAAATAAAATTAGAAAGATTAAATATTGAAAAAGGAAAATAAATTAAATATAGTAATACTCCTAGATATCCTTTCTTTAAATAAGAAAAATGGCATATTATTATTACTAACATTAAAAAACATATCGTGTATTATGAATTTATTACTAGTCAAGAAAAAGAAGTTGAAGTTTCATTTAAATTACCTCCTCATTAACCGGGTATTCATTAATATGTTTTATATGCAAAACCTGATTGCTATATTGGATTTGATATTGAAAAAGAAGTTAAATTTAAAGTTTTTTCTGTTAAAGATGTTAATAGGGTAATTTTTATTATATATGTATTATAAAGAATATTATTAAATTTTTTTATTTGATAGGAAAAATTCTAATATCACTAAGAAGATTAAGATTTAGGTGCTACACCAACATTGTTCTAGTAAATGATGTAGGTAATGGCTCCGAGATAAGAAGAAGAAGAAGAGGAAGAAGAAGAAGAATAAAATTAATAACCAAATAGAAATAATGATAAAGAAGAATAAAATATTAAGGAAAATTAAAAAGAAGAGGAAAGTGATTAAGAAGAATTGGATAAAAAAGAGGTAAAAAAAAATAATTGAATTTTTATTTAAGTAAATTTTTATAATTAATTAATAAAACAAATATCAACTAATATTTTAAAAAATTTGATAAGAATATTTATTATGTTATTTTATTTTAAATATACATATATATATATATATTTATATATAATATATATATTTATATTTATTTTAATATTATTTTATATTTTAATATTTACAATAATTTAATTAATAGAAATTTATTTTTTTATAATTTTAATCAATTTATTTTCTATTATTTTAAAGATATATTAATATTATTTAATTTTTTTAAATAACTAAGATTTTAAGTGACTTCTCATATTTTGTTTTTTTATTTTTATTTTATTTATATCCTATAAAATTAGGTTATTTAAAATTTATTATAGATTTATTCGTTAAAAAATATATTTAAAATTTTAATTTTTTTAATGACATAAAATATGTCTAAAAATTTTATAGAATAAATTATAAATATTTTTTTTTTTTAATAAATATTTAAAAAGTACAAAAATATTATTATAAGATTTAAAATAAATATTATTATTATTATTAACTTTTTATTTAAAATATATATATGTGTTTAACAATTTTCTATATTTATCAATATTTTGTATTAATTAAATTAATATTTATTTAATATATATTATTAAAGAAAAAGATAGAAAAAAATTATAATAATAATTAAATAAAAGTAAAAATAATTAAATATTTTAAATAATTTTTTCGCAATAAATAAAATTAAAAATAATAGTTATAAAAAATGGTTTTAATTAATAATATATAATACCACATTAAAATTATAAAAAAAAGGATGACGAAATAGCTAGACAGGCTGCATAAATGGAAGAAAAAATGAAAAAAATGGGCAAGAAAAAACCTCTTATTAAATAAGATAAAGATGTATTAATTTTAAAATTATAATTTTGATTTATTAAAAATTATTTATAACATTTTAAAGAAAAAAGTTTTTGATTCTGCAGATTATTATAAAGATTAAGAAGAATAAGGAAAAAGTTGATATATATATAATTGAAAAAAATTATAAATAAATAAATTTTTAAGCAAAATATATAAATATATATATATATATATATATATATATAATATATATATATATATATAATTATATATATAATATTAATTATATATATTCATTTTTAATAATAAAAAAAATTATTAATTATTTTTATAAATATTTTTATAATTAAATATAAAATATTTATAATTAACTAAAAAGAATAAAATATATTTCTAAACTTAATAAAATAAAATAATATATAATTTTTTATTATTTATTTATTTTTTCATTTATCTTGTATATGTTATCTTTTTAAATTATTTATTTTTTCTTCTTTAAATTCAACTAATACAGACATATTGTTTATGTTATTAGAATTAAGCAAGAATGAAAATGTCCGCTTTCATCACAAACTAAAGATTCGGTTAATAATCTTTCGTTACCAATATAATTTGATTTTGAGAATACCTTTGCTTTTACATTTTTTGGTACAAGAGCACTTTTGTAGACTATTCTTTTTTCTTTTGGACTACTTTCACATATTTTCAATTCTTAACCTTAGAAGTTGCATTCAGTGTAGAAAATAACACATGCTTAAGGACAAGGTTTTTTAGGTGGCACAATTGTTGTTGGTACTTTTGTAGGCATAGTTGGGATCGAAGGTGGTGTTATAACTGTTTTTACTTAAGAAGTTGGATATGAAACAGTTTTAGGTACCGAAGGAACCTATGGAGTAAATATAGTAGGGACCTTAGAAGTTGGTTTGGGTTTTACAGAGATAGGAGTTGTCAAAGTAGGAATAACTGGAGTTATTACAGTAGGAACTTAAGAAGTGGGTTTAGATGGTGTAGGAATGATAGGAGGTATCGGGGTAGGAGTTTTGGGGGCAGGAGTGATGGGTTTTGTTGGAATAGTAGTGAATTTTGGGGGTTAAGGGGTTGGGGGTTTTGGGGTGGTAGGTGTTTTTGTAGTATGTTAATGATTGTATGATTCTTTACTTTTAATGTGTTTGCTAATATCACTATCATCAACGTCATTACTAAATGTATAAATAGGTGTCTAGACATGAGAGGGTACTACAGTTACGGTTTTGGGAGGTGGACATACTATTTTTCTCCATGAAGATTCTCCGTTAGGGGAAGTTTCGAGATCGGCTACTCTGAGTTAATAGCCACCGTTAAGTGTACTAGAAGCGCCTCCTTAAATTTTTGAAGATTTTGTAATACCACCGCAATTTATGTCACCGTTACAAGCTTTTTGGGCAGCTTCTAAATTTTCGAAGTCTTAGCATTTTAAGGCACAACCTTTAATATAAGTGTTGGAGATTTCTTAAGAATAACATACGGGTTCAGAAGACATATTGTAGATTTACTTAACGTATTTTACCCAAGAAAATTCTCCGTTGTTCGAAGGTGTGAAGTTAGTGGATTCTCTCAATTGATAACCCCAACCACCTTCAATCGGTCCTGTAGATCTTTGTCCTCCGAAAGTAATATGTGCGTAAGTTATACCACCACATCTTTTGTATTTCTTGCATTCTAAAATGGCTTCTTCTAAAGTTCCGAAATCGACACAGTCTTAACAACATCCCTTTAATTCGACTCCGTAGAAGGCTCTTGACCATTCAGTTACAGAAGTTTCCTCATTTTCATCTTTAATAGGACAAAGATTGTTTTTTACCCAAGAGTATTCATGAGAAGAAGCTTTGGCAACAGTTGAAGCTCTCAATTAATATCCATATCCATTGACTTTTCCTTATGATTTGTTTCCGCCGAATTCGGGGTTACTCCAAGTAACACCACCACATTATGGATTTTAGTCACAAGCAGATTAGGCTTCTAAAAGAGTTTTGAAATCACTGCATTCTTCAATACATCCTTCTAAATATTAGTTTCTTTGAACTTAGAAATCACATCTAGTGTTTACATCTACACAAGGGATTTTTTACCATGAAATAATTTAGGGATTTCCAACTTCAAAAAGTTAATTACTTTTTCTTAATTAAAATCCAAACATTCCATCTGTGGCTCCTCTGGCTTTTGAACCTGCTGATTTATCAGCATAGGTGACACCTCCACAAATTAATCCTAATCTAGTACATTCTTTTAAGGCTGTTTCTAAAGTATCATAATCCAAACAACCGTTTATGCATGAAATTAGTTCTTTGCTTTCAGATTTTCCACTATAACAGGCGCTTGCTTGATTACTTGAAGATTATTTAATGACATTTTTTACCCAAGAGATTTCTTTGTTTTCAGAAACAACTAAAGTAGTGGATTTTCTCAATTAATAACCCCAAGTACCTTAGTGAGCTCCTTTAGACTAATTACCACCAAACTTGATTTATGAATATGTAATACCATCACATACATCTAATTAAGAACAGGCATTAATAGCTTCTTATAATTTGCTATAATCAACACATCCATCAGCACAATCACCCAATTAAAATCCTGAATATGCACTACTCCATTCCATAATTTAAGGAGCAGGGTTTTTACAAGTATTAGCTTTTAACCAAGAAGTTTATGGAGTGGATACAGTTGTAGTAGGAATCGCAGTTGCTCCTGATCTTAATTAATAACGGGAACCTTAACTTCTGGCACCTCCAAGTTCTTTAGTAGAATAAGTAACACCAGTACAAGATTTGTCTTTATCACATTCCCTTTATGCATCAACTAAATGATCAAAATCTACACATTCTTAAGCACAACCTTATAAATATGCGTTTCTTCTCAATCCGTAATCACATCTACTATTTTATTCTACACAAGGAATTTTTTACCAAGAACTAATATTTGAATTTGAAGCTTGAGATAATTAATTTGAAAGTCTCAATTAATAGACCCATCCCTATTTAGATTTTACATTTGACTAAACATAACTTACACCTCCACAAGCCCTTGAGGGTTTTTTTACATCATTATATTTAGTGCAGGCTTCTAAAGCTTAATCTAGATCATCAAATTAAGGACAGCCGTCTATACATCCATCAAGAATTCTTGATTTTTATTCGGAAGTGTAACAAGCCGAGTGTTCTTCTTCACAAGTTTTCTTTACCCACGATTCTTGTTAAGCATCTATACTAAATTAGAAATTACTGGAACCTCTTAACTCATATACGTATTAAGGTTCATTTTTTTCTCTATTGTCTTTTTATTCATTTTCTGATCCATCCTATTCGTATAATACTTTTGTTATGCCATAACATTCGTCACTTTGAATACAGGCAGATTTTGCTAAATCTAATGAATTATATTATTAGCAAACATCTAAACCATTTGCACATGTTGCTAAATAAGTAGATTTTTAGTATTCCCAAGTACATTTTAAATCAGCGTGAGCTAATGTTATTAGAACTAATACTAATAGAATTTTTTTTATTTAATACATTTATTTTAAATGGATATTTTTTTTTTTCCTTAATTGTTTTATAATTTATTATTTATATAAATATTTATATGTATTTTATTTTTTATAATTACAATATATGTTTTTGAAATGTAATTATTTATTTATTTATTTGTATTTTTTTGTTAAGAGTTTTATTTTAAATTATTTATCTTTGTTTATTTTATTAAAGATTATTAAATTTCATTTGTTTTTTTTAGTTTTCTAATTTGTAATTTAAAAACGAATAAAAAATTACGTTTTAAAATCGTTTTGAGAAATTGTTTTTAAAATATATTATGTAAAAATATGTTACCTTTAAAAAAATAATAATATATTTTAATAAATAGAAATAAAAAAATTGAAAATATATAAAGTATTTATTATAAATTAAAAGATTATTAACAATATAATAAAAAATTTAAAAGTAATTGTAAAAAATAAAATATAAAATAATATTGTATTAATATAAGTATAAATATAAAAATTAAAAAAAAAAAAATAAATAATTTATTTTAAGAATTTATTTATATTTATGATTTTTTTAAATAAATATTTATAAAAAAAAAAAGTATTATAAATTTAAAATTAATTATTAAAAAAAAAAAATAGTAATATATATATATATATATATATATATATATTATATAATTAATTATATTAATAAATTGGTATTAATGTATTATGCATCTTTTTTTATACAATTCAATTGAGTTAATTATTTTAAAAGTTATATATATTAATTTTAATGAATTTTATGTTTTTTTTTTTTTATTATATTATATTCATTTTTTATTTTTTAAAAACTTGTATATTTATTATTAATTTTTTAATACATTAAATATATTATATATTTTTTTTAAAAAAAAAAAAAAATTATGAAAATTTTATTCATGATTATATTGGCTTAAAATGTCTATATACTTATATACTATTTTTTAAAAAATAATATTCAAAAAATAACAAATTTTAAAAAATTTATAAAAAAATATGCATTTATTTATAATTTATAAAATTAATAATAAATATTTATTATTTCTAAAATATCTTTTTTTTTACTACAATGAATTTATTTTTTACACTTTATTTATATATAAATTAACTTTATGATTTTTTTATATGAAAAATATATATAATATTAAAGTTTTTATAATAATTAATAATAATAAATAGCAATATATTTTAATTATTCATTTAATTTTTTGTTTTATTTTAATAATATTTTTTTAAAAATCTTAAATTTAGATTATACAAAAATATTATTTTTTACAATATTAATCTTTGTTCATTTTCAATTAATATATCCAATAGGAATATTTATTAGTTTTTTTAAAAATAAAAAATAAATTAGTAAATTTACTAAATAAGGTATTAAAATTGTTAGATATATAATTTATATATTTATTTTTTTGGATAAAATTTTTATTATTATATATTTTATTTAATTAAGATATTTAAAAATAGACTTCACTATTTTAATTTAAAAATCTCATTTTATTTTAAAAAATAAAACTGCTACTAAAATAATTTTAAATACTAAAAATATATTTAATACATTCTTTTAATTATATTTTAGTTTTCTAGTTTATATATTTTCTAAATATTAAAGTAAAAAGTATAAATTTATAAATTATTTATTAAATTAATAATAAATTTATTTTTAATTGATTATAAATGAATTAAATATATCAAAGTATAGACTCTATTTTATAATTATTTACTTAAAGTATTTTCTTTAAAGTATTTTCTTAAAGTTTTACCCAATAATTGATTTATAAAAATATATTTATTAAAAGAAAAATTTTAATTTTATATTTTATAAATTCTTTATTTTAAATAAAACTTTAATTTCAATCCTTAATAATTGAATAGAGAGATATAATATTTATATTTAAAATTAAATATTTATATTATATATTAAATATATATAATATATTATATTTCTAGGTTTAACATTTATATTAGCATATTTAAGTATCTATTAGACTATTTAAGTAATATTACTTTAATTGATTTAGTAAAATCATATTTAAATTGTTATTTTACTTTATAATAAATTATAAATTATATTGTATTACTTTAAATTTTTTATTAATATTTAAAAATATATATTTTATCTAATTAATTTTATTATAATTTTATTTTATTCATTAATGAAATTAAATTTATAATAAATATTATACAAGTAATTAAATTGAATATAAAATCTATAAAACCACTCAAATTTATATTATATCACCGATAATAAAAAAATTAAAAATTAAATATTAATTAGTTAATTCACTAAATAAAAATATAAAGTCATTATTTATAAATTATTTATAATCATTTAGTTATTTAAAAGAATTAAAAAATTTAAAAAAGTGTAAAAATATCAAAATATTGTTGGAATAAATAAATTATAAAAAATAGTATAATTCAAATCAATAAAAATGAAAAAATATAATCAAATATAAAAAATAAAATACCTATTTAAAAATTAAATTTATGAAAATTAATAATTAAATTAAGTAAAATTTATTTTTTAGAGGAAGTAAAATAAAAAGAGAATTTTATAAAAATAAATTGAATCAAAAAAATTCTAAAATTAATTAAAAAAAAATTTAAATTTTAAAACTAAAATTAAAAATGTGAACTTTGTAAAAAAAAAAAAAAATTTAATGAGAAGAGATGCAAGATCTTATGAAAAACAAAAATATTTAATTTACATGAAAAAGGCGAATTTAAATATTTTTATTATAAAATGAAATTGAAAATTAACAAAACAAATTAGTAAAAAATAATTTGAAATATATAAAAAAAAATAGGGAAGATTAAAAAAAATGGAAAATTTATATAAAAAAAATAAAGAAAATTAATAATATAATATAATTGAATAATAAAAAAAATATGAAAAATATAAATATTTTAACTTAAAAGAATAGGATAAAATCAAGTATTGTATGAAAAATAAGAATTTTATTTTATAATAAACTATTTTAATTAAAAAAAAAATATTATGAAAATATAATTAACATAAGAGAATTTTTATTAATATTATATATAAATAGAAAAATTCAAAATAATAAAGAATATATATTTAAAAAAAAAAAAAAAAGAGAATAAAAAAAATCTGAAAAATAAATAATAATATTATTTACTTTCTTTTTGTAATCTAAATTTTTTTTTTTTTCTTATTTTTAGCTTATTAATCTTATAAACTTATATCTGCCTTAAATATTTCATTATTTTTTAATTTCTGTTATTAAGAAGACTTATTTTTTTATTTTTTTATTAATATATTAATTAAATTACACATATTTTGTTTTCTTATATTTATCTATTTTTTTTCTTTATTTTATTTATATTTATTTAAATAAAATTTTTGAATTTTTTTTAATATTTAAATTAATTTTCTTATTTAAATTATTCAATTTTATTCAAATAAAAAACATCTTTTTCTGAAGTCAATTAATTGTTTTTCACTTACTTATTGCATTCTTTTTATTATTAGATTAATTCTTATTCAGTTTCTTATAAAACTTATTATAACTCTTTTACTCTATAGATTTATAATATTATATTTCTTCATCTTTTTGCTTAGATTATTTTTGAAATCAAATTTCTACATTTGTCTATATCTAAAGTATCAACTTTATTTATAAAAAGATGTATTGAAGTTAATATATGATTTTATAAAGTAACTCTTTGGTTTTGTTTTTATTAAAAATCTACTTTTTTTCTGGATTTTTTTGAGACAATTAAATTTTTTAGGTTTTAAATTATTTTTTTTTTTTTTTATTATTCTATTTATATAAATTTAGGATAAAATTTTTTATAAAAAAATAAATTAGGATAATTCTTGAATCTAATTATAAAATACATATAAATATTTTGATTTAATTTATTTATTTTTTAATAAAAGTTATTAAATAAATAAAAAAATGCAATAAAGTACATTTTCATTATAAGATTTTGAAAATCGAATGTATTTAAAAAATTAAAATAACTAATAAATTAGTCAACCAATTTTATTACCTATTAAAGATAATAAAGTTTAAAATATTTGTTAATTTGATTATTTAAATATATATAATAAAATCGCAACATATTTTAATTAGGATGGTTAAAAGGAACGAAATAATAATTCTTTATGTAAAATTTTTTTATTTTTTATTTTTTTTTTTCCATAATTAAAAAAATTATAGAACCAAATAATATACCTTTAAGCAAAATAAAAATACCAAAATATTTATAGATAGAATATAATAAGGAAAGTTAACTAATAGAAAAGTATAATCAATAAAATAAAAATAAAAATAAAAAAGAAATTTCGCAATATTAGAAGGACTAAGATGATCTTTATATAAAAAAATATCAATAAAACATATAAAATTTTAAATAGAATATGATAAAGGATAAATAATTTGAAAAACTAAGTTTAAATAATAAAAAAAATAATTTTTTAATAATAATTTTAGCCAATAAAACAACGAAAAAAGTTCATATTATAATTCTTTTCATACAAAAAAATAATATATGTTTGTAAATTCTATTTTGAATAATATATAGGATTAACAAAATAGTAAAAATATTTCGAAAAAATAATGTTAAGAAATAAAAAATTTGAAATTAAATTCTGATAATTCTATTTAGAAAGTAAATATAGAAAACAATATCATAAATGAAAGTTTTTAAAAAAAATTTATTAAAAAAAAATATTTAATTTAAATATAAAAAAATAAAAATTTACTTGAAAAATAATAATATTAATTGGATAATAAGAAAAAAAAATTATAATAAAAAAATGTTTAAAGTAATAATAGTAATAATATATAAAATCAAAATGAATTAAAAATGGAACAAATAGCAGAAAAAAATCCATTTAAAAGATAAATTATTTTCAATTTAATTAAAAAAAAAGCAATTCATGCGAAAGGTAAGAAAAATATAAAAATCACTTATTTTTATGCATAAATAAATATGTATTTATTATTAAAAAAAAGTTAATTTTTTAAATTAAAATAGAATTTAAAGATAAAATTTAAGTTGTAAATATATCAATATTTAAAATAAAGAAATTAATAAGTATATTATTTAAATTACATTTACATTATTTATGCTTAACTTTTTTTTAAGTAGTTAATAAGCAAATAGAATTCTAAATTAAAAAATAGACTTTATTCAAACATAATATAAAAAGTTAATTGATTAAATGATTGAAAATATAAATTAAATTTGATATATTAAAAAAATTGATTCATATAAATTTGAATAATTGTTTTAAATAATAATTTTAATAAAAATATTTAATATAAATATAATTATACATATCAAAATTATAAATGACTATATCTATATATTAAAAATTTCTGTTTTATTTAATGATAATAATAACTTAATTTAATTTTTATAAAAGGAAAATAATACACTTTTACTATTATTCGGGTGTGTAGCTCAATTGGCAGAGCGCTTGATTTGCATTCAAGAGGCAGGGGGATCGATGCCCCCCTCATCCATACTTTTTTATTTTTTTAAAAATATTAAATTTTAATAATAATAATATATTTTATTTATATTATTTTTAAAATAAAGAAAATATTTATTTGGTTTTATTTATTTATTATTTTTATTTATTTAATTAAAAAGCAAATAAAAAAAAGAATGAAAATTTTTTAAAAAAATGTAAAATATGTAATAATTATTTCATTAATAAATTTTTGGGAATTTAATAGTTTTATGATATATTTCTTAATAAACTTAAGAAACTGATTTTTATAAAGTACTAATTAAATGACCATCTCCCATTTTTAAAGTCTTTGTTTTATGATTTTTATTTCTAATTACATTACATAATAATAATATTTATTTAGATGTCTCCACAGGGTTAAAAGCTTCCAATTAATCAGCTTTTTAATCATCTTTATTTATTTCTTTTTAATCATCTTAACTTAACTTTTATATTTATTATGTTTTATCTGTTATATCATCCCCTAAGAAATTAACATTTTTTTTCTATTAATTCTTTTTGACGGATTAGACTTCATCTTAAAATTATTAATTTTCCATTAATAATGGTTTTAAAGTTAAAGTTTGTTAAGATTAGGTTAATTTATCACATAAGCAAGCTATATTTTTAATATATATAATAATAGTATTAAATTTATTACATGGCTAATTGTTATATAAAAGTTAAGCAGCATTAAAATGTGTTTTATTGTGTAGAGAAGGAAGTAATTTTTTTGCTAGCTATTAAGCTTGTTCTTTATTTTTATCCCATGCACTTTTTTTTTCATTTGATTTTTCATTTTATTTTTATTGTTTTTTATTTTTCATTTTACTAAAATCAATATTCTTGTTTATTTTTTTACAAATAACAAAATATATTTAAAATAAATAAAAAGTGTATTTACCTCTACTTAACTTTACATATGATCTTTTAATAATTATTCAATTCTTTCTAAAGATGTTTTCGCTGTAAAACGCATATCTGGCTATATTTCTTTATCTGTCTATCTTTCTCTAAATTAATGATTTGCTACTGTTAAATTAGGCATATAATCTAAATCTGAATTTTTTTCTATAGATTCCTTATATATATATATATATATATTTTTAACTAAAAATAATATGACTTTTTTTATTTACTTTTATTCTATCTTTTTCATATTTAAAACCTTTTATATATACTTAAGGATCTTTTAGAAACTTTTCTGGAAATTCGTCCCTTATTTTATGGGCTGTTGGGCCTTTATAATCTATTGTAATTATTGGATTATCGATCATATTTATAACAAAATTATCAACTCTTTTTTTATAATTATTTGATAGCCTTATTTATTTACCTTTTTTTTTTTTTTTTAGAATGTATGTTTTTTTAGTATAATAAAATGAAATTATAATATTTAATTATGTTTTATACTTTTTCTTTTTATTTAATTTTTGATAAAACTATCCTTCATTTTATCAATTTTTAGTTTATTTTGTAATTTTTAGTTATACAAGTTATAATTGAACATTATTTTTTTTATTTATTTTTAATATAGTTTTTTTTGTTTTTTTTATTTTTTTATAAATTAATTAATTATTTATATAAAAAAATAAAATTAAATAACTTACAAAAATAAATATATTATAAAAAAATAAAAATGAATTATTCACAAATTTAGTTCATTAAAGTAATATTTGCTAAGAAGCCTCCCAAGGACATCAGGAGAAATAGGTTTTGGATAATAAGTATCCATTCCACATTATTCGCACATATATCTAGTTTCTAAATCTGTCCATGATGAATAACCAATAATATGTGTATTTATATTTTTATTAGAATATTGTATTTTTCGAATTTCTTTTGTAGCTTCAAAACCATCCATAATAGGCATATTTATGTCCATGAAAATAAGTTTTATTTAAATTAAATTATTAAGCATTTTTCTGTAAATATCAACTGCTTCTTTTCCACTATAGGCAGTCAAAATTAGATTTTCGGAAATATTATTTGCCTTGATTTTTATTAAAATTTATAAGCATTTTATATTCATAGGTTCATCATCTACAATAAGAATTTTTTATAAATTAAGAAATTTTCCTTTTGGAAAAATTAGTAATTCGGCTATTTTTCCTTCATATATTTACGATTAAGAAAAAATTCCTTCATTTTCATTTGTTTTTGGAACCATGTTATTATAATTATTATTATTATTATTATTTTGATTTTCTTCTTTAGTATTTAATGTATTAATATTCTAGAGTATATAAGAAAAAGTTTTTTATTTATTAATTTCTTTTTTTGAAGACATCTCTACATTTATGGTTTTTTGTTCTAAATAATGGCTTTAACTTAAATTCATTTTATTTACTGATTTTTACACGAAATTATTTAAACTTTAAATTTCAAAATCTTATTATTTTACAAGAACTTCTTCTTCATTAATAATTAGCAATTATTAGTCAACTTTTTTTTCATTTTCTTATGATTTCTATATATTTATAAAAATTGATTTTTTTTTTTTATTTTACTTAAGATTTTATAATATTATCAGTTATTTTATAACCATATTTTTCGATAATTTATAATTTTAGTTCGTTTTATTTATTTTAATGATTTAAATCTTAATTAAATTAAACTTATTGGCTTTAATTTATATTTTAGAATTGTTAAATACTTTAATTTTATATATGTTCATTACGATTATTTATTTAATTACTTTTATTATTCTATATACTATTATTATTGTTATTATTTTAATAATTATATATACTATTTACAGATTTATTTATTAAAGTTTAACTAATTACTTCATAGATATTAGAATGAATGAAAAACCAAAATTAAGATCCTTTTTATGTTTCCGATAAAAAATGAATTCCTTCCACTCCTTTATTATTTCGCATTAATTTTGCCAAAATATTACTTATAGTTAGTCCGAATCCGAATCCGGAGGAATTTTAAGATATTTTTAGTTTAAATTTTCTCCTTTTAATAATTTTCGGAGATTATTTTATTCATATTAACTCATTCCTATTCCTTTGTCATTTACTTATATTTTAATTAATTTATTATCAGGCATATTTTATATTGTAAAGGTTATTTATGAGTTCCTTTATGAAAATTTAAATGCATTAGAAAGTAAATTTATAATTATTGATTGGACTTTTTTTTAATCCAAATAAATTTTTTCAGGAATATTCACGAAATCTACTCTAAAATCAATGTTTTTTAACTCCGCTAACTTCAAATAATGCCTATATATATTCAATGCAATATCTTACAATTTTTATTCTTTCCACATAACCCTTAATATTCCATTTTTATATGCATTATAGTCTCTAATATCTTATACAATTTAATTAATTATAAATACATTTGATTCTATATACTTTTTATTTTGCATTATGTATATTTTTTTTTATTTTATTTTTTATACATACACTCAAATAAGTTGTTTTGGTATATTCTCCTACATTTTAATCTAACATAGAACTAGAAATAAATTATTAAAGGAAATTAACACAAGTACCCAATTCATGAGAAATAGTCTGAAAAATTCGATTTTCAGTTTCTTATTACATTGTCGCTTAGTTTTCTTTATTACATGTGAAAGAAATAATTATTTATTTTTATTTATTTATTATTTTTCCTACTATTTTGATGTTAAAATAATTTAATTCTTCATTTTTAGAAATATCTACGGCATATTTAATAATTTGAATTATAAAAATACTATTTTATTCATCTAAATTTGTTAGAAGCTTTTAGGCTAAATCATATAGGCTAATGTTTGCTGTTAATTTTTTTCGATCTTTGACTAAATTTTCATCCATTTAGAAAGAATTTTCTAAATAATTTTACTTTTTTTAAGTAATATTTACATTTTCATATTATTATTTAAATATAGTACTTAATTTTTTATTAGGAGTTGTTACTTATCCATTCAAATCTAATTTTTTTAAGTAAATTTCACTTTATTTGGAAAATTCTTTGATGATAATTTATCTAAAAATATCATGATTATATTTCGTTTGTTAAAATTATATTATTTATTAGCGAAAAAGACTATTTTCTTAAGATATGTATATATCTTCAGTATTTAAAGATTATTATTTTATGATTTTTTAGTAATTATTTTTAAAAAAATAAGATTTTATTAATTTTTATTAGTTCATTTCTTCTTCTTCTTTTTATATTGGTTTAGCAAGATCTAATATTTATTAAGCCTGTTTATTTGTATATCTAATTTTTAAATTTTCATCCAAAATAAAAATTCCCGAGTCTAAAAAAAAGAGGACTTCTTCAAAATAATTCATGCATTGCAAAATCTGCTAATCATATATATTACAGCCTTATAAGCTTTATTTTTGTTTCGATTATTCTATCTTTTTATTTATTTGAGATTGTTATTATTATTCAGTTTATGTTAAAAAGCGCTATTTTCTATTTATATTTGAGGGATTTAAAAAATTATCTTTGATTGATTGGAGTTTTTATTTTTAGTTTTGGAAAGTGCTTTCTTATATATTATTTTAAAATTGGTTCTCTTTATTTAAATTTTGGTCTTTATTTAGATTTCGGTCTTAATTTAAATTTTTTGGTATTTATTTAAAATTTATTCGTATTTATTTAAAATTTTTTAGTATTAATTTAAATTTTAATCTTTATTTAGGGCTTTATTACTTTTTGGTGAGTGGTGTTTTTTTTAATCCTTTTTTTTAATTAATGTTATTTTTTGAATTATAATCATAGCATATTCCGTTTAAATTTTTTGTTATTAATAAGGTGAATAAGGTGCATATTTATACATAATCGTATTTAAATGCTGATATTTAAAGGGATAAAAAAAGAAATATGTTCAATATTAATATTATATTTCTGAACCAGAATTCAAAATATTTGTTTAATTAATCCACTATGCATTAAAATAATAATATAAATAATATATATTCGATTATTTTGTAATTATTTTGTAAACTTTAGATATTTACATTAAGTTGATAATATCCACATGCAAACGTATAGCCAAATGTACTTGTTATGAATAATATTTATAAAGATCGTTTCCTTTTTTAATATTAGTTTTTTATACTGTATATTATTATTATTGTTAGAATAGGAACTGCAGATGTCCATAAATATATACATTATCTATATTCATAATTAAGACCTATTGTTACTTTTTTTATATACATGTATTTAATATAAGTGTTTCTTTTAGTTTATATTTTTTTATAAATTACAATATATCAAATATACTAACTTTATGATGTATATTATGTGAAATTTTCGAATTTTTTATATTTTTAGATATGAATAATTTATATTTTGTTGAGTTTCTTATTTCATATATTTTTTTAAGATAAAAATTTTAATAATAATAAAAATTAATTAATAATATTTATAAAATATATCAAACATTAAAAATATATATAAATTTTACTTTATTAAAATTAATATATTTAGTTAATAATTACAGAATATAATTTAAAAAATTTTTATATATTTTTATTTAATAATTATTAAACTTTAATAAAAATTAGTTGATTGAAATTTAATTTATTTAATAATAAGCTAAGACAAGCATTTATTTTTAATTTAAAATTAATAAATATAAATTTTTATATATAATTTTATATATAAATGATTTTTTTATATTTATTGTAAATTTTTTTTAGTTTTTCATCTTATTTTAAGATGATTAATATTATTAGAATAATTTAATAATAAATAATATTTTATCTTTTTTTAAATATTATTATTATTTATTAAATATTATATTTATTTTTAAATTTAAAATCTAATTTATTTTTATTAATTATTATTTTGAAAATTTTTGTGATAAATAATAAAGTAAATTTAAAATGTAATTATGTCTAAAAATATTAATTTTAAAATTAAAAAAAAAAGCAATTGAAAAAATTAATTACTAAATTATTTTATTTTATTTAACAAAAATAAAAATTGTTATAAAATGTTTAAATAATCAGTAATATATATTATATAAATATTTTAAAATATAATAAATGTTAAATAATGTTATTTATATTAATAATATTGTAATTTATATACAACATATAAAAAAATAAAAATATTTAATATTAAAGATAATTAAATAATGTATTTAGTTTATTAATTTATTTTCTATAATTATAAATTTTAATATATATATTAATTTATTAATATATTATTACCTATATTATATGTTTCAACTAATTTTTTTTATTTGTTTATTATTTTTTTAGGAATATTTATTATAACAAAGGAATAACAATTTTATTTTTTTAAAACATATTTTATTTGAATTTTTTAATAAAATTATAAAATATATATATATAATTTTGAATAGATTTATAGATTATATGAAAGCAAATTATATAATAGTATTTTTAGGATATTTATTATATATAAATCATATAATTAATTTCTGTAAAATTAATATTTGCTACTTAAAAAAAAAAAATATTAATAAATAAAATATTTTCATTTAAATAAAATTTAAAGTTAAAAAATAAAAAAAAATTAATTTTAAAGCTTTTTTATTTTTAATATATTTATTTATATTATATTAGATTTTTAAATTCAAAAAATAAATTATAATTTAATTAAATTTGAAATACGATAAATATTTTTAAATAAAAGAAATAAATAAAAAAAAAAAACTTAAAATTTACAAGAAAACAAAGATCAAATAAAAAAAAAAAAAAGTATTAATTACTTTAATTATTATATTTAAATTTTTACGCGAATATATTTTTTTGAAATTTTCGATAAAAAGCGCCTTTTTTGGGTAATAAAAATAACTAAATATCGAAAAAAAAATTTAAGACAAAAAAAAATCAATAAACCAATAAATAAATAAAAAAAATAAAAAAAAAAAAAACAAACAAAATGTTCCAAGCCAAATTAGAAGAAGGAATTTTATTTAAAAAAATAGTAGATTCAATAAAAGACTTAGTAAAGCAAGTAAATATAGATGCTAATCCTAATGGCTTATCAATGTAAGCAATGGACTCTGCTCATGTAGCTTTAGTATCTTTAAAATTAAACGAAAACGGTTTCAAAGACTATAGATGTGACCGTCCTTTAACATTAGGACTTTCAATTGAAAATCTATCTAAAATATTAAAATGTGCAGGTGGAGATGATATTATAACTTTATAAACTGATGAAGAAGAACCTTCTACATTAAGATTTTTATTCGAAAATCCTTAGGCAACAAAAATTTCTGAATTTTCTTTGAATTTATTAAGTTTGGATTCTGAAGCTTTGGGAATACCTGAAACTGAATATTCCTCTACAATTGAAATGCCTTCTTCTGAATTTTCAAGAATTTGTAAAGAACTTAGTTCCATTTCTGAAACTGGTATATTTTTAATTAATTTTTATTTATTTATTTACATTTTATTTATAGTTGAAATTGAAACTTCAAAAGAAACTGCTAAATTTAGCGTTTCTGGAGATATTGGTAACGGTTCAATTACTATTAAACATAATGAAGGAGAAAAGGAAGGGGAAAAAGTATGCCTTAATGTTGATTAACCTGTAAAATTAACATTCGCTCTAAGATATTTAAATATGTTTAATAAAGCTATGTCTTTAAGTAACTAAGTTAGTTTAAATATGTCTGAAGAAAATCCATTGATGGTAGAATATAAAATAGGAAGACTTGGGACTTTAAGATTCTATTTAGCTCCTAAAATTAATGATGAAGAAAATTGAGTTTGTTTTTTTGTTTCTTATTTTATTTCTAAATAAATATATTTTTTTTTTATATATATAAAAATATTTTATATATTTCTGTTTATTTATTTCTATTTTTTGTGTTTTTATATTTTTTTTATATAAAAAATTAATTTAAAAGTATTGATTAATATTTTTTTTCTTTATTAATATATAAGTTTATATATTAATATAAAATAATAATAAAATTAATGAAATTATGTTAAATATTATTAAATTTTTATAAAATAAATTTAATTTTTTAGAAAAAAAAAATTAATATAAAAATAAAATAAGAAAAATAAAAAAATAATAATAAATAATTATATTATATCAATTTTTTTAATTATTAGCCCTGTCTATAATATTGATTGCTAAATTTTTTTTAGTTTATTCCATTTAAATATATCCCTCTTAAGATCTGGTAGTAAAAATATTCTTAAAAATAAATAAAATATAAATAATAAAAATATAAAAAATAAAATAAACCTCCTTTGTTTTTCCGACATAAATAGTATCTAAATGTGTTCTTAATACACTTTCTAAATCTTCCACAATTCTACCAATATTTTCTAAATGAAAACTATTAATATCGATATTACCATCATATAATCTAACATCTTCTTTCTTTTATATTAAAATATATAAAAATATATATATATATATATAAATATATATATATATATATAATATATATTTATATTTATAATTTTTTATAATTAAATTTTATATATTTATATATCTAAATATATTTAATATATTTTTTTATTTTTTTTATATTTTTTATATTTTTTTTTATAAGTATTATAAACTTACTGATTTTGTTAAAGAACCTGAAATATTAACATCTCCTGCACCATCATCATTTAATATCATTTCTAAAACAACAGATCCTGTACATTTATAAGTTATTTTTTTTTTATTTTATTCGTCTACTTTTACATCTACAACATTTATTGAATCCCATGTTCCTTTTTTAATACCTTTTGCTAATTCCACCTCTTTAAAATAAAATATTTATTATAATTTATATTCTAATTTTATAATAATAAAAGTAAAAAACCTTTTTTCATTAAAAATGCGCATGCGAATCCTCCATTTTCCTTATCCCAAAAATAAATATTACATATTCCTCCTTAATAATATCTTAAGTATTATTTATAAATTATATAGATTTTTTTTTTATTTTTATTTTTACAATTTCATATATTCCTAAAATAATGTATTTGCCTTTTCTTCAAGCTATCTTACATCGTTTGAAGGATAAACTGCATCATCAATAGGGGGGTCATATTAATTTGAATGAGGTGATCTAAAGCTATCTCCATCTCTATTAAATTCACTTTTAATATATTATAAATTTGTTTAGCTACATACACCAATTTCTTTTTATTTTTTGTTTTTTTTTTTGTTTGTTTTTTTTATTTTTTTTTATTTACCTAATGGTTTATCAACTTTTTATAATAATTCATCCGCTTCATCAGGCATTAGATTAGATAAAGCATTTGTGTTATAATGTATTTTTGAAGGAGGTAATTTTCTTAATAAAGATAATGCTGTAGCTATTTTATTTTGTTCCATTTTTTTTATATTTTATTTACTGAAAATTATATTTGGATGATATAAACTTTTTTTAATTTTATTTATTAATATTTATATATATATACATATATATTTATGTTATTTTATTTCATATAATTATTTTATTTTATAAATATATATTTATTAAATTATTAAATGTTTTTTAATAATTTAGTTAAAATATATATTAATTTTTTCCTTTTTTTTTTTTTAAAAAAAAAATATTTATTCAAATAATATAAAAAATGTTAAATCAATAATGTATAAACAAAGAAATTTAAAAAATATAAAATAGTATCTAAAAGCCTATTTAAAAAGATGTTTTTCTTTAAAATATATAAAATCCAATTAAAAATAATTATGATGTGTAAAAATATAAATAAAACTCATAATAATATAAATCTAATTTAAAAATAATAAAAATTAGAAATAATTTATCTAAAATGATGAATTTTTAAGATAGTTTATTTTATTTAGATAATAATTAATAAAATTAGAATACAAGCAACAATAATATCTTTATAACAGCAAATAATAATTATTAATATTAATAATAATGCTAATATCCATAACTAAACTTATATAGTAACGTAAGATAACTCACTCCAACAAGAAACGATAGTAAATACAATCTTTTAAAATAAAGAGAATTAAGCAAAATAAGTAGGCAAAGTAGTGAAGACTAAAACTAGAAAATAGTAACTTCTATAAATGAATTGGAAGGAGAATGGAATAAAATTAAAAAATACCATAATTTAGATTAAAGAAGTCATCACTCTTCTTTAAATACAAGCATTAGTGGAGGTAATAAAATATTTATAAATTAATTATAAAATACTCAAAATTTTGGTACTTAAAACTCAGATAATAATTCTATAAATGAAATAAGGTAATATATATATTTAATAATATTTTTAACATATATATTAATATATAAATATTATATATATATGATTTTATATAAATGATTATAAGTTATTAAGGAAATTTAAATTCATAAGCATCAATAAAATCTTTAAATAGTTATTAGAAAATATAAGTAGGATAAAACAGTACTAATTTCAAAAACACAACTCCAAACAAAACAAATAATATAGAAAATATAAAAAAACACATTTATTATAAATAAGTCAATACCACTTTCAAAAATTAATTTGGATTAATTTAAAATAAATTAATGCAGTAGTAGATCAAGTAGTGATTATAATAATAGTTAAACGAAATGTAAATTATTATAAGATAAGGAATTTGTAAAATATGATAAATATTAAAACGTAAATACTAATAGAGATAATTTTCATAATAATAATTATAAAAAATACGGTGCTTATCAATCTGATAATAAAAAAACAGAAAATATATATAATTAAAAAGAAAATAATTAGAAACAATCAAATTTTGAAAACTAAAACATATAAAAACAATACACAATAAATTTATAAAATCTTAATAATAACGAAGAAGCAAGTTTCTAATAAACTCATAAATTAAAGCAATCATAAAGTCTAAATAATACTAAAATAGATTCTTTAGGAGTGTAAAACTAAAATTTTTATATATAATAAAATATAACAAATAATATAAATTAAATATTAATTTAATAAAAATAAATGATATAATAATAATAAGAATACAATTAAAATGAATAATAACAATAAATATAATAATAATAATAATAATAATAATAATAATAATAATAATAATAATAATAATAATAATAATTATTATAATAATAATCACATATTTATTAATAATAATAGTTTTAGTTTTTTAAATAATAATAAACTTAATATAATTAATATGTTCATTAAACAAATATATAATAACAAACTTAATAAACAATATAATATACTTAATAAAATTCTTAATAAAATTCATAATAAAATATTTAATAATATTAATAATAACCTTAATTTTTTTAACAATAGCTTTAATAAGTTTAATAATAATAAATTTAATAATAAAAAAACGTTTCTAATAATACATTTTCAACAGGTGTTTCGAATAAGCTTGTTTCTAATAAGAGTAAAGTATAAAATTGTATTAAAAAAGATAAAAAATAATAAAAAAATAGTCCAATTTCAAAAAAATAAAATTAAATAATATTAGATTGTATTAATAACAAATTCATGAAATAATAAAAACAATTTAAAAATATACAATTAAAAAATAATTAAGTTTAATAAAATATTTAAAATAATACAAACAATTAACTATAAAATAATATTTAAAAATATTAAGATTATAATACATATAATATAAATAGTAATTTTATATAAAAACCTTATTAATCTGTTTCTAATAATATTTAAATTGCGAATATAAATAATTCTGAAAACATTCCTAATCATTAAATTGATATACAATAATTAAATAGTAATTATAACTATATAAATTTAGATACTAATGAATTATATAAATAAAATAACACTTAAAATAATAATTAAAAGAACATTTATTAATAATAATTATTATATTAATAATAATTTTAGTAATAAGTATAAAAAAATTTACTACCTACTTATTAATATGAAGTTTAGCAAAATTCAACTTCTAAATATTTATAGAATATAAACTTAATTTAATAAAATAAAACATAAAATAATTAATACTCAAGTGGATATAATATTAATGAATAATACATTTAGTAGTAAAAAAATAATATTTTAATATTTTTTAATTATATAAAAAAAAAAGAATTCCAGATAATAATAAACCTGTGTAAGATAATAGCTAATTAAATTAAAATAAAAAAAAAAATATATAATAATAATAATTAAATTAAAATAAAAATTATAAATAAACATTTGGAGAAAAGAGTATATAATAAATATTATAAAATAATAACTAAAGTTGAAAATAAAAAATAAAAAAATTAATCAAAATAAATTGTTTATTAATTTTTTATGTATTTAAAATATAAAATTATTTATTTATATAAGAAAGATTTAGTAAATAAATGAATAAATTGATTGAAAATATATGTATAAAAAAAAAACAAATTAATAAATAAATAAAAAAAAAATATATAAAAAGATTAATTATAAAAAATAAATGTATTATATAAATCTTTTACAATTAATTTTTTAAATATACTTTTTTTTTAATAAATCTAGCTTTTAATAAGTATTTAGAAATTACTCAAAGAAAATAATCTGGTACTCTACGAGTAACATGAGGTTCGTTTGTTCTTGGAGCAGGTTCAAATTACATACTTATATTTTAAATAATTACTTATACAATATATTTTATATTTATTATTTTTACAAGTTTAGTTTTAATCCATCGTCAACTTCCATTATTGATGCTTAGTTTCCACATCTATAGCAATAATTAGGAGCAGAAAAGATAGTTACACATTTTTTTTAATGTACTTAATTATAACCCTTTATTTTATATAATTAATTTCGTTAATATTTTTTAGTTTTTTTTACATCCATAACTAGTTAATGAGCTCTAGCTATCATTTTCAATTTATTTTAATGAATATATTTCTCTGAAATATCTAATCCCCATGTCCATCCTGCACCCCTTGGTGATAATCCCCAACCTTTATTTAGATTTTATAAAATAATATATTTAAAAAAAAAAAAAAAAATTAATTTAAAATAAAATAAAATTAATAAGTAATTTAAATAAAATTTTTTATACCTGTTCTTTAATCATCAGGATCAGACCATAATAAATCGCACATAGGGCCTTCATGAGGAACATCTTAGAATCTATTAATAGATCTTATTTGATCTAAATTTTCAATAGCAGGTGATAAACCACCATGTAAACAAAATATCTTTTTTTTATTAATATTTTATTTTATGAAAAAAAAAAAATTAAATAAAATATAGATCATTTTAAATATTTTTTATTACTTATGATTCAACAACTGCTGCTAAAGGCAAATATAAGAAAGCATCAGTAAAATATTTCCATACATTTTCATTACCGTATTTTTTATTGCATTCATCATAAAAACCATATATTTTGTTAATTTCACGATTTTCATGGTTTCCTCTTAATATTACTATTCTATCTTTATACCTTACTTTCAAAGCAAATATCAATGATACAGTTTCTACTGAATTAGAACCTCTATCTACATAATCTCCCATAAATAAATAATTTGTATCCTATTTTTATTTTATTTTTAAATAAAATAAATATATTATTTTTGTTTACTGGAGGTTTACCACCTATTCTAAATAATTCTATTAAATCATGAAATTGACCATGAACATCTCCACATACTGTCACAGGGGCTTTACATGTTGCTACATTCTTTTCTTCGGCTAATATTTCTTTTATCTTTTTTTTTATTTATAAAAAAATAAATATATATTGTTTATGATTTTTATCTTTTTTTATAATTTATTATTTTTTTAAAACTAATTTTTATATTTATGTGTATTTATTACTTTGTCACATAGTATTTTAACATCAGATTCTGCTAATACTTTACATTAATATAATTATTCGATATATTTATCAAAGTTTCCTATTTCACTTTATGAAAATTTTGGTGGCATTTTTTTTTGTTTAATATTTTAATATAAAGGTTTATTTTTAATTTTTTTTAAAAAATATGGTTTAATTTAAAGGAAAATATTTTTTTTTTAGAAAATATGTGAAAAATAAAATTAAAATTAATATTTAAAAGTTTTTTAAATATTACCCAATTATATTTACATTGCTTAAGTTAATTTTTTTTATTTTTTTATTTTTCTATATTAGAATAGTTATATTCAAGATGATATTTAATTTTTTAAAATAATAAAAATATTTAACTTAATTTATAAATAATATTTCATTATTATTTTATTTTACAATAAATAAAAATTAAGTTTTCATTAAATTTAAACATAATTTATCATTTAATTAATAAAAATATGAATATAAATCTTTTTCTGTTTTTTATTAAGTTTATAATTAAAGAATAAATAATTTTTGATTAAAATTATTTTTATCATCTTTGTTTAGGTATTATGATATTTTATTATATTTATACTATCTTAAAAATTTTATACGTAAGTTTAAAAATTAAATATAAATATATAATTATATATATATATATAAATTTATATATATAGGTATATAAAAAAATGATTATACATAAAAGTTAAGACTTTTATATATTATTTTATATATTATATTTTAAAAATATATTAATTATTAATCATATAATTTCATTTAATGTTAATATTAATTATAAATTTAGTTTAATATTAGATATTTTTTATAAAAATAAATCTTTTGAAAAAAAAATATAAAATAATAATAAAAATATTATAAATACTATATTATTAAAATAAATCATATATTTATGTAACAAAATTAATATTAAATAAATATTTATTTTATATAAAGCTTAATATTTTAAATATTATATATTTTTATTTTTATTTTTCTTTTTTACTATTTTTTTTTTATTATTATACATCTATTATATTTTTCAAAAAAAATAAAAAAAATAAAATAAAAAATATATAAAAATGGAACCATTTGGAAGTGAAGAAAGAAACTGGACACATGAAGAAAAATAATTGGTAAAAATAAATAAAAATAACAAAGAAGAAAATAAAAAATTAAATTTTTATTTTAAGATTTAAATATATAAAAATTAACAAAATTTTTTTTTTATATGTATATTTAAGTTAACCAGATTTTTAAAATATGATAAACATGTACCATTAAGACATGCAGAAATGGTTTATTCAGCTGAAGTGTTATTTAAAAATAAAAAAATAATTATAAATTATTATTTTCCTCATATATAGTGAAGCAAAATATTTTGAAAAAGCTGGTTTTTATGCAGGACTTGGTTTAAGTATTATGTTCTTTAATTTCCCGATTATAAGGTATTTAAAATTTAACATTATTATAGATTTATTTGAAATATTTTTTTATTTATTTTTTTCAAGACAATTACCTGCTTTAAGAAGAGTTGTTTTTTCTAGCTTTCCTTTCCTTTATTGTTATAATTGGGGAATGAATACATGTGAAGAATTAAAATGGTTAAAAAGTAAATTATTAATTTATTAATTAATTTATTGATTTATTATAAATTAAAAATAAGCTCATGCTGCTTATTAAAAATTTGTTCAATTTCACGGATAACATCAAAAATTATTTGTTTGAAATAAATAAATATAATAATTTTTATCAAATAAATAAATAAATATAAAAGAACTAATATATATATATATTTATTTTAAAAAATATATATGTATATTAATTTTTGATTAAAAATTAATATTTTTGATAAAGATTTTTAATTTTTTATTTTATATCATTTTTCTTTTATTTATTTAATAAATAAATAAATATTTAACTTACTTATTTTTTTATAAAAAATAAAAAATTATAGATTTTTAATATTATAATTAAATAATATACATTTTTATTAAAAAAAATTATTCTAATATATATTTTTTGTTTGAATTAGTAAAAAATGTTTATTGTTATTAAATAAAATTTTATTTTTTGTACTATTTTTATTAAAAATATTAATAATTATTATTAAATTAAAAAATTTATATAAGTTAACGAAATATTAAAATATTTTTTATTATTTTTTACTAAAAAAATTATTATCTATATATATTTAGTTTTTGCTAAAATAATTATATTTTTATTAATAAATTAATAAAAATGATAAAAGTTAATAATAGCATTATTCTTTTAAGTATTTATAATATTACTAAAAATTAGTCTAATAATATCTTTAGGATTAAATGCTATTTTAGAATTGTTTTTTTTTATTTTATTCTGAAAATTTTAATGATTTAGAAAAATAAGGTGCACTAGGATAAACTTAAGATAAAAATATTAACAATCATATTTTGTTATTTAAGATATAAGGACCATTAAAATAATTAATAATTTTATTAAATATTATGATTTTGTCTTTCTCTTGTTTTTTATTAATATATTTTGCAGTTATTTTTAAAATATTCTTTTCTTTTTATTTAGTTTTTAAATTAATAATTAAGGAAATTAAAAATATTTCTTTTTTTTTTTTTGATTTTTATATTATTGAAATTTTCTTTTTTCTTTTAATAATTATGAATGAAGAAAAAGAAACAAATCAATTTTAATATTTTATCTAAAAAATATAAGAAATGTATTAAATTAATCATTCTAATAAAAATTATTAAAACAATATATCATATTAATATACAATTTAAAAGAAATATGATGATCCCTTGGAAAAATTATAGTATTTTTAAAATTAAATTACTCCAAAAATGCTTAAAAAAAGAATAATAAAATAACAATGACAATAATAATAAAATATATATATATATATATATATATATATATATAAATTGTATATTTATGTATTTGTAATGTTATTATTTTATAAATATTATTAACATATAAAAAAAAGTATAATTTTATAAAATGTATTATTTTTAATATATATAATCAAAAAAAAGATTAAACGAAATATATAAATTATTTTATAAACTATAATAATAAAATATTTAAATTTATAATAAACTTATAATAAATTAATATATAATATTAGTTATAATATTAATAATATATCTTATATATAATTAGAGAAAGTAATTTTTACATTATTTGTCTTTTTTTTTTTTTTTTCTATTTTCAAAAGTAAATAAAAAAATTATTATTTTTTCAACATTATATCTATTATTGAAATTATTAATTTTTTTGATTTTCCAATTATTTATTCAATTCAGTTTATAATATACATCTTTGTTAATCTCTTTGTTAAATAGCACTTTTTTTATTTAAATAAATAATTAATATATATAAATAATATATATATATATGTATATATATATTTATTACTAATATAATTATAATATATGTTATTCTACATCTACGAAATTAAATATCAAATTAAGTTAAGATTAAGATAAATAGTCTAAAGGAGATTAAAAATCTTGTGAGTTATATTTATTCTGTAATTTAGTATTGTATTTGAAATTATTTTTATTATAAAATTAGTTAAAACTATATTTATTATTTAGAATTTATTTAATCTGTTTGAGGTTTTAATCTTTAATATTTTTTTTTAAAACAAAAAAAGATATATAAATTTAGATTTTACATATTTTATTTTTTTTACTGTTTTCTTAATTATTATTCTTTATTTTTTTTTCGATTGTTTTTCTTTCTACATATTAGTTATATTTTCAATGTTTGTGAGAATGTTATTAGTATTGTATTCTTTTTCTAATCTATTAAAAAATTTCTAAGCATGTGAACGTATTTATGCTCCTGTCCTCGTTCCTATATATTCTTCTACACTCTTCCAATCTTTACCATACAAACTAATAGATTCTATAAATTTTTAATGTTCTTCTTTAGTCCAACGTCCATTCAAAGAGTTTTTTTAAGAAAAATTATTTGTAGTCATTTGTAAATTCGAAGTACTATTATCACTTATAACTTAATTTTAAATAGATTATTTTTAGTTGATTATTTGCATTTTTGAATTTTTTATAGTCTTACTTTTATATGATTTAATTTTTTTTTTTTTATTATATTTTTTGTTTTTTTAAAACAGAATTTTTTAATTATTTTATTTATTAATTTTTTATTTATTAAATAGTTATTATATTTAAAAAAAAAAAAAATTTAAAAATCTTTTTTTTAAAAATCAATAAAAAAAATAGGTTTTTTATTTTGTTTGTATTAAAATAAACATCAAAATAACGTCTTGATTTGTTATTTTTTTTTTTTCAAATATATTATTTAAATTTCTATTTTTTTTTAAATTATATTAAATAATGTTAATTATATGAAATTAAAAAATAAAAAACAAATTATATTTTTATTTATTATATATAAAAAATATAAATTATAATTAAAGTTTAATATATAAATTATTAATAAAATATTTTAAAAAGTAAACTATTTTATTCATTTAATTTCATAATAAAATAAATATATACTTATATATATTTTTTTATTTAATTGCATTTTAAATAAAATTTATAATTTAATATTTTACTTATTAAAATCTTTATTTTAAAATATTTTATTTTTTTAAATAAAATATTTAAAAAAATATCTTTAAAATTAAAAAACTAACTATATTTATGAAAGTAAATTTAGAAAAAAAAGTAAAAAAAAATTTAAATATTAAATTATAAAAATTTTAGTTTAAAAAAAAAAATACTTAAAAATTGTTATATTTTATATTAAAAAAAAATTGAAAATAAAGAATTAATAATGATAATAAAAAAATATAAATGTAAATATAAATATTTAAATATAAATTTAAATTTTTATTTTTAAAAAAATAATCAATGATTTTTATCATATTTTATATTTTTTGTAAAATAAAAATATTTTATTTAAAATTCTTTCATTTTTTTTTTTTTTATAAATAAAAAAATGGATTAAACCTAAACATATTAATATGAATATGTTTAAAAAAATTCAGACCATTTTGATTATTGTCAATGTCTTTTTGAAGTTCGACTTTACAAAAAAGCCTTTTTCGGAGAAATATAATATCGTTATATATATTTCACATAAGATTCATTAGTAATTTCTAGAGAACCTTATTAAAAAATCCCTATAAAAATTTTAAAATTAAAGCCATATTGGAAAATATAATGGATAAACTCATAAATAAATTAAGAAAACCAAATAATAGGTTTCAAATTATTAACAGATACAATATATAAGATAAAATATTACGGAAATATCAAATAAATGCAAAAACTAAAAGATTATATGCAAAAAAGAATTATTTCAACTTAATTCGATTAGGAATATGATATAATATAAAAAATAGGAAAAGGAAAATATGCAAATGTATATGAAATATAAAAAAAAGATACAAAAGTGCATTATGCAGCTAAATATTTAGATAAAAACTATATGTATTCAATAAAAAAATCAAGAGTTATTATTTTATATATATAAATATATATATTTATATATTTATATATTTATATATATATATATATATATATATATATATGTTTATTTTATTATTATTATTATTATATAATTTTATTTTAAGGAAATGCTTTTTAACGAACTTAAAATTCTTAAATAAATAGATCATTAGAATTGCGTAAAATTTATTAATGTTTATGAAGATTCTTATGGATATTATATTATTACTGAATTGTATGATAATTCAAAAAGTTTGTAATGTGAACTTATTAAATTCTAAAATGTTTAGTTTGGATATTAAAGTGTTTGTAGAATTCTTAAATAAATACTTTTAGGAGTCTAATATATTCATAAATAGGGAATTATGCATAGAGATATTAAACCTTAAAATATAATGTTTAGTGATGATTAAATGCTTAAAATTATCGATTTTGGTCTTGCTTAATATGTAAATGAGAATAATTATATATTCATACATGTAGGCACACCAGGATTTGTAGCACCAGAAATTTTAGCAAATGAAAGTGATGATAATAGATATAATGAAAAAGTTGATATGTTTAGTATAGGCGTTATTTTGCATATATTGTAGTTTTTTTAATAAAAAATAAATAAATATATAAATATATAAATATATAAATATATATATTTAAATATCTAAATTAAAATATATATATATATTTTCATATAATTATTTAGATATTTATTTTTATTTATTTTTTATATTATTCTTAAAAATATAGATTAACTGGAAAAATGGTTTTTACAGGATAAGGTTTTTAATAATTAATTTAAAATAATAAAATTGGAAACATTAAGATTCATACTGAAAATGTATTTATAAAAAAATATATTTATACAATAAAAAAAATTAGTTAAGTTAAGAGGCAATTTAACTTTTATAAAAATTACTTGAAGTTAATCCAGTTAAAAGAATTTCATGTTCTGAAGCATTGAGACATAATTTTTTTAAAAAATAAACATTTCCAAGTAAGACATAAATAAGTTTTATTGATGATGATATCAATATAAGTGCTGAAAATTATATTTAATAATTAAAAATCTTCGGTTCTTAAAAAACTTATAATCTAACCAAAGATTTAATAAATTTTCTTTATGAATAAAATTAAACTATTTCTTAATAAAAAGAAGAAATCAATATCAATATTAATAGCCCTGTTATTAACAAAAATATAAGTTAAAAACAAAAGTTTAAGTTTTCACAAAAATAAAATGTTTCTTTGTGCAATTTAGATCATATTCAAGAATTAGAAGTAAATGAATAAGTAATAAATTAAGATCAAAATGATAATCATAATAATGAAATTTGTATTATTAGAGATAGGTAGTTTTCAAAATAGAAAATTAAACTTTTAAATTTTTTTCCGAGCGAGTTATTTGATAGTTAATTGAAAGAATAGTAAAAATTGTAAATTTTAGCTAGGTATTTGTTGTTTGGGGAAGAATTTTATAATAATGATAATTTAAATATTGAAAAAGAATTCGAAATGGTGAAATAATCACATATTTTTGATGATTGGTTTATTTTATGTATTGAGAAAATGCTAGACGAATAAAATAATTATATTGAATTTATAAAAGATCTTATTAATTAAAATGCATGAATTTATATAAAATTTTATTAGATAAATAAATATTTATAAAAATCATTAATATATTTTATTATGTGTAATATAAATATTTTTATCTCTATAATATAATAAAAAATCTCTTCTTATTAATTTCTTGAAAATTATAAATAATAAATAATATTAATTTTTTTGTTAAAAAAAAAAAACTAATAATTATATCTTTCTTTATAATAAACTAATAAAAAATTTATAATATAGAATAATATGAATAAAGTCAATGTTTAAAAATGTATAATTTGAATAATGAATATATAATTTATTTTATAATAATAATAATAAATATTATTTAAATAAAAAAAAATTATATATTTAAATTAAAAGATATAAACAATTATTTTTTAAAAATTATATTGTGTATGATTTAAATTAATTGGATTGTATTGTAAAAATAAAAAAAATAATATATATTTTTGATTTATTTATTTAATAAACATTTATATAATATCTAAAATGTATATATATATTCATTTTTATTTAAAATCTTAAAATAATATTAAATTTTAATAATAACTATAAAAATGATTATTATATAATCTATGTTTATAATATATTATTAAATTAATTTTTATAAAAGAATAAATTTAATTTATTTTTATATTATATGTATATTATAGATATATACATAAAAATAATATTTATGTTATTTTACATATCTTTATTTTTTTATTTATTTATTTAATGTCTAATATTATTATAATAAATTAAATTAATAAAAAATAAATTATACAATAATAATATGTTTTCAAAAAAAAAATTAATATAATCGAAATAAAATTAATTTATTTAAAATCCTTTTGATTATTTATATATAAATTAAATTTATTTTTGAGAATTTTAAAAAATTAAAGCAATAAATAATTATAGTCCATACATACATATCCTTATAAAATTAAGAATGAAATTTGAAATCATATATCTAATAGATAAAATAATTATTAAAAAAATATGTATATAAACATTTTATTTAGAAAAATATTTATTGTTTATTATATAAATAAAAATATAAATATTTAGTATAAGTAAATAAAATTATAATATATTTTTTAATTTTCTTTATTTTTAATCTCTAGATATTATATTAAAAAATATAAATATTATTTACAATATATATAAATATTATAAACTTATTATTTATTAATTAAAAAATTATTATTTTTAATTTAATTAAAAAAATAAATAATTAATTTTAATAAAAATGCCTAAATTTTAAGTTTATAACTTAAAGATTAAAAAAAATATATTTAATTATTAAATAAAACTTTATTAAATTATTTATTATAAAAATTATTTTATAATTTTTATAATTTAATTATTAAAATTAAAAATATATATTAAAAATCATTATTTTAATATTTAAGGTTTTTTTTTTTTTATTGAGGATATTATTTTTTATAAAAGTCCATTTATAATTATATATATTTTTTTATTATTTTATTTACATTTATTTTTTAAAGTTAATAATTTTTTCTTTTTTTTTAAAACAAAAAAAAATTAATTAAAATAAACTATTTTTTTTGTATAAAAATAAAATGATAATTATAAAAAAGATAATACTACTATTTTCATACATTATATTCAGCTAAATAATTTTATCTTATCAATAATAATTTCAAATTTAAGAGAACAATATTTTAATATACGACTCAAATCCAATTATTTAATAAAAATTATATAAGTATGGTGATTATTTGACATAAATATTAACTTTATAATAAGAAAATATTAGTGCTATAATTTTTATTTTTGGGGGTGAAAATATAGTTGTTTTCTAATATGAATATAATAATGATTTTATAAAATTTTCTTATAAATTAGAAATAAAGGTAAAAACAGGTCGAATTTATAATAATAGGCTTTATGTCGCAACTGAGGAAAATGAGATTATTTAATTTGAATATAAAAATAAGAAATTAATATAATTATAATAAATATTGATTCCTCAAAATAAAAAATTCGATTAATTTATTTTAATTAGGCTTAATGTTTTTTATTTATTTTCTTTAAACGAATTTATTTTTTTAGATTATTAAAATTAAAAATCCGAAACTCCTTTATAAATATTTGAAATTCCTTTATAAAAATTGCCTTTGGAAATTTTGGTCGTCTAAAATTTTATTTTTATATCATAAATTTAGGGCGATATTCTCCTTTTTTATTTCAAGGAAGAAAATATGACTTTTAAATATATAAAAAAATTAAATATAATAGGAAAATAGTCTGAATAAATGTATTTTTTTAAATAAAGTAGTATTTTTTATTCCCTTTCGAGAGAATATGGACTCCGTATTTCAAATATATAGGAAATTATAAATTAAAATTAGAATTTAGATATTTTTTCGAGGAAAAAAGAAGAGGATTTTTTGATAAAAATAATTGGTTTAACATAAAGTATGAATTTTTTCCATATTGATAGTGTTAAAAAGGAGCTTTTTTTAAGTGTAAGGACTAGCGGGGTTATTGTATATAATATTGAGGATTTATAAAATCCGAAAATTATATAAAATATAGAATATGAAGGACTTTCAAATAATATTTTTAAAATTGGGGATTTATTGGGTTTTATGAGTGATTTTTAATTGCTGATTTTCTAGAAAAAAAAAGCTAATACAAATTAGGAAATTTTAAATATCTATAATGTAGAATAGTGTTTATCCCAAGAATTATCTGGTGAATTTTGGTCTTGGGCAGTTTAAATTAGTATACATTATACGAAGTTATACGAGTTAGTGCGGGATATACAGGGGTTTTAATATATAATATGGAGGATATTTACAATCCAAAGATGATTAGGAACCTTTCTTTGTTTAATTGCTCACACGATGGGAGCTTTTATTTAGATAAAAAGGATGTTTTGATTGTTGGGTAGTCTGAGAATGGAATGGCATTTTTGGGATGTAAGGGATTTTGAGAACCCACAGTTGATTTAATAATATAAATTGAATACTTAAAATGGTTGTGATGATATTTCTAGTAATTCGGAATAACGTTATATTGCATGTGCGAATGGGTTTTAAGGATTTTGTATATTCGATATAGAAAAAATGGAAAATTTCATTACTAAGGATCTATTTTTGTAAAATAATGGAGTTGAGAGTGTCGTTTTTGATGAAAATATGGAATTCGGATTATACGCGGTAAGAGAATTAGGTGTTGGATATTTTTTAATTGATAAATAAAATAGAAGTATAGAAGAAATAAATTTTTTTAAAACTTATGGAGGAGAATATTTAAGATTTGATATAAGAAATAATGGAAATCAATATGTTTTTGTAGCCAATGGATTTCAGGGAATTATTATTATTGATTGTAGAGATATTAAAAAACCTAAAATTTTTTAAAAAATAAGTGTTGATGGATGGGCTGTTAAGTTTTTTTAAGTTAGGCAAAATCCAGATTTATTATTAGTTTCTTAAATAGGAGGTGGGTCGATTTCTTTACTTGATATTGGAGAAGATGATTAGAAAAAAATTGGGGCTATATCTTTTTAATAAGACGAATAAAGTTATGCAGTTTAAGTAGATCCAAAAGGGAGATATTATATTTATACTATTTCTTATGGATTTAGGATTTGTGCTGTTTAAAATAATATTATTATTCATTCATAAGTGAATAGAAATATTCCTCCTTCATAAATTATATAAAATTTAAAAAAAAATACAGTATATGTAGGGGAATAAGTCGAAACTACTATAATGACACTTTTTGAGGAAAGGAATACTATATTTAAAGAAATTCTTTATTATTAAAATTTCAAAGTAGTTCCTTTGCCTTATTGGGCGTCTTTTGTATAATACTAATCTTTACTTTTATTCAGTATTCCATAAATTGCATATGAATAAGATAAAAAAAAACATACTTTTTTAATAAAAGTAAATATAAGATTATCTTAAAATGATTTTTTATGTAATAAATATGGCATAGATAATATATAAGCAGAAAATATATACAAAGAATTAATTATTTAAGGATTTATAGATAGGTTTGGGTATATATTTAATTATGATCCTAATGTTAATTTTATTTTAGAATGGGAAGGAATGAATCAAATAAGTTAAGAAAATAGAAATTTAGCTTAGAAATTTATTGCATATGTAATTAGTAGAAATTTTTTTTTATATCCAATTTAATTTAGTACTTAATAATATTTGAAGTTAGATTTGGATGGAGATATAGGTAGCGGAAGGGTTTTGTCATTTTCTTAATAAATAGAAATGATTATGACTATTTAAAATAATAATCATTTGGATAGTTCTAAAGCATCTTTTATTAAAGATCATCATTATTAAGGCATTTAATATGGTTTTAATTAAGATTTAAGTTAATTGAGCTTATAGGGAGATATTAATATTATTAATCATATTTTAATATATGAAAGAATTCCGGTTTCTAGGTTAATATAGAATATAAAAGTAAATATAATATTAAAAGATGGAATTAGTTCAGATGTTGAGGATGTTTTTGAAATGCAAAAATTAGTATTTTTATAAGCTATTGATAATATTTAAGTTAAAAAAAGCTTCCAAGATTAATATGATGAAACTTATCCAAATGGATTATATGTTTAAGATGATTTTTAGATAATGTTCAATACAAACGAGATATAATATTAATATAAAAATTAATTAAAATATTAAGTAAATATATATATATATATAAATATACATATACATATATATTTATATATTAAATTATAACAATATTATTAGATATTTATTTAAAATTAAAATAATGAATGGGTTATCAATTTGAATTAAAATAATATTAAATTTGATTCTGAGAATGTCTAAATTATAGGTAATGTAGGTTTGAGTTTTTACAAATAATAGTTGTAATTAAAAATAATTATATCAGATTAATATAATTCAGTAGAAGAAATTTTTATTATTAAGTTTTAGAATATACCTTGGACTTTTATTGTTTAATATGTTTTGATATCTTTAATTCCTATTTTTTTATTATTTATTATTTTTTTGTTTAGAATGAAAATTTAAATTATGTATTTCTCACATTATTTTTTATATTCTTAAGAAAGAGTTTAATGTGACCAAAAATATACTAAAACAATTATTTTGGCACCTTATTTATATCAAAATGCAACTAAATTATTCTATAAAATATACAAATCTGCACAAAATTAGGCTTTGGATACTTCTCTAGACTTAAAATTGTCAAAAGCTGAAATTTTTATAAAAAATTATAGCCTGAAATAATACTAAGCAAATATAGAGGAAATTCTAAAAGACGCAAAAGCTATATATTTGAAAAATCCTAAAGAATTCCCTTATTTAAACGAAAAAGAATTTGAATTTAAATACGAAAAAAAAACATAATTAGCTATAGCCCTATAATGTTTGATAGTTAAATTTATACTTAAAAATAATATTTAAACCAAAAAAATTTACGATAAACTTAAATAATATACTATCTAGTAAACATCATAAGCAGATTGGTATAAAGTAAATTAATATATATATATATATATTAATTTACTTTATATATATTTGTATACATATATATATATATATTATATATATATATATATAAAAAAATATATATTATTTTGCTTTTTTTTTTTGATTATAAATATTATATATAAATAAAGAATAAAAAAAATTATAATTTTTTTTTTTTTCATTGATATAATTATTATTAAATAATGTAGAAAATCACAAAATAAATAAATATAAAACTTAAATAAAACTAAACATATATTGATATATTTATTTATTTTTTATTTAGTAATATTTGATTGAATAATAAAATTTTAATGGAAATAATACATTGAAAGAATATTCATTAGTAAAGAAAGATTCTAATTGTAGTATAAAGATAAGAAATTATGATCATTTAATGTGTATTAATTTATAAATAAATAAAGAAAAAATTGAAGATGTTTTTAATATATTACTTGATTAAAGCTAAATTTAAGTAAATTAATATGGATATGATGAAGATTTATTAGTAGAGGCTTTAAAAGCAGATTATTTTGGTTTTGATTAGGAAAATAAGCCTCGTGCATATAAAAGCTCTATAGGATATTTTATTCATTTAGATTATCGAAGTATACATTCTTTGAAAGTATTTAAGAAAATTGGGTTTGATTCTTAAAAAAATAATGTAGATATGCACAAAAGTAGCATTTTCTAAAGAATTAAAAGGTCATTTAATTCAGGATATATAAATATTGAAATTCCTAATTGGCTATAGTATGATTATGATGAGGGAAATATATTTATTTCATGCATTTCGGGCAAATAAAATCAAGGGGAATTTATGTTTTAGATTATAGGAAAAAGTGGGTTTATTATTTAATAATTTAGCTTAGTTTTTGTTTCTGGTGATTTAACTTCCTCGCCTATAGCAAGTGCTTAAAAATAAAGCACAATGTAACATTTTAATATTAATAATGCTATTAGACCGACTAATTATACTCTTATGAAAAAAAAAAAATCTTAAAATTAAACTTAGTCTTTTAATAATTCGTTTGGAAAATTATAAAGTAGGGTTTTTGTTAGGGAATGAATATTTTTTTTATTTGTTTTATAATTATGTATTTTATTTTATTTATAATAAGTTATATTTTTAGAATGATTTTTTTTTTTTGGGTAATTTTATAAAGTAAGTAATTTCAAAATTATGTATTAATTTTTAGTATTTTTTTAATGCATATATTTAATTTTTTATTTTATTATAGAGATTTGTTATATATTTTTTATTTTTTTTGGGGGTAATATCCCACTATTTATCTATATATTTTAAAAAATTAGTTAAATTTTTATTATAGAAAAAAAAAAGTACAATAATAATAATAAAAAAAAAATAAGAGAGTAAATAAAAAATGGCTAAAAACTAAAAATAAAATAAAAAAATAGAAAAATAATTAGATAAGTTTTTAGAATATGTAAGTTCTTAGACCATTTCTAATTAAGATTATATATAATTAGTTCGTGAAAAAGTAGCTTAATTAGGGAAAAAAAACTATTTTTAAATTTCTTAATAAAGTTATCTCCTTGAAAAAATATGTGAAATATGTTAAGATTTTCATAATGAAGATAAATTATTACTTTGTGATTATTGTGAAGATGCTTATCATATATATTGTTTAGTATTTTTTTTTTTCTAAATGCATTTATTTTTAATTTATTAATTATCTGTTTTGTTTTTAATAGAATCCTCCTTTAAATAATGTACCGGGAGAAGAAGAAGATTGGTTTTGTAGTATATGTATATAATAAAAGTAAGAATATGAGAAATAAAAATTAAACAAAAATATTAATGGGTAGACTTGTTTGGATTAATATTAATTTATTAAAGATTGTAAAAATAATGAAAAAATATTGGTAATCGTTTAAAAAAATTTTTATTATTATATATAAAAAAAACATTTAAATGAAAAAATTTAATAATTAATAATTTAAAAAAAAAACAAACAACAATAAATAATTATTTATTTTGTTTTGTTTTTTTTTTTTTTTTTAAAAAAAAAAAAAATTAAATAAACAAATTATTAATTTTCAAATAATACTTTCTTTATGTAATAATATAAACTAAAATATTTATTTTTTATAAAAAATAAATAAAAAAAGATTTGTTCATATTGTAATGGAAATAAATTAACTAATAAATAATCAATAATACTTGAAGAAAGTGAAAAATGTATGAAATGTTAAAAAATATACCATAAAGCATGTTTTAATTAACGAAAAGATTCAATAATATGTTTTGACTGTTAATAATAAATAAAAAGTAAAAAAAAAGTAATTTTTTTTTATTTTATTTTTATAATAAAAAAAAAAAAAAAAAAAGAAACTATCCCTAATAATCAAAAAACACTAGATTAATATTTTTAATAAAGTTAGTAATTAATTTATAAAAATGTTCCTTTAAAATATATTATGAATATAGAAAATTCTTCAAAAAAATAAAAAGAATAAGAACCTTATTTATAAAAATAAAATGAGGAAAATTCTCCATAAAATAAAGAAACTTTATTTTATAAAAAAAACGAGGAAAATTCAATAAAAGAAAAAAAAAAAAGAAAAGCCGAAATAATATATTCAACAGAAAATTACTAATAGAAAAAAAAATAAAAAATATCTAAATTAAATAATAATAAATAACATTATTAATTAAATATTTCTTTAAATTCTGAAACTTCAAGTATTAATAATGAAAATACATTATAAATATCAACAAATAGTTCTCATAAATCCTTTTATTAAAAACGTTAGACTTAATTTTAACTTCCATTACCTATGAATGATAAATAACTAAGCATTTAATGTAAATAATCTTTAATTTATGCTTTAAAAGCTAAAAATATATAATTTACTGATGATTTATATTACCCTGAATAATGTCCAAAAAGCTAAAATAACTCTGAAAAAGAATGTAATTTATAAACTTTAAGCTTGACAAATGCTTTAACGTTCTGTAAATTCAAAGAAATGACAAGATAAGGAAAATATGGGCCACTTTTGGTGGAAGAAAATAAACTTTAAGGATTTGTAGTAAGAGCATGTGAAAATATAAAGGCAAGAACACTTTTATGTGAATATGTAGGATAAGTAGATTTCGCTAGAAATCATATTTTTGATAATAATGACTCTATTATGGATCTTTTGAGAACATCAAGAAGTAAAACTTCACTAGTTATTATTCCTGAATAAAAAGGAAATATAGCAAGATTCATTTCTGGAATTAATAATTGTTAAAAAGGAGGTTAAAATAAATAAAATGTTTAAAGTATAAGAATAAATATAGATGGTTAGGTAAAAGTAATACTTTTTGCAAAAAGAAATATAAAAAAAGGTGAATTATTATATTATGATTATAATGCAGGAGGTTTTAATGATTATCCTACAGAATAATTTGTTTGATATAGTTTTTTTATTATAGAAAGTTAATAATTATTATATTATTATATTTAAATACTTATATATTAATAATTAATATAATTATATATTAATATCTTTATATATTTATAATTATATATTATATATTTATATATATATTTATATATTTTTATATTTTTTGTAATTTTATATTTTTTATATGTTTATATAAAAAATTATTTTTATTTATTTATTTATTTTTATATGTTTTTATATTTATCTTTTTATTTTTATTTTTATTTTTATTTAATTATTTTTTTTATTTTTATTTATATTAATTTTCTATGTTTATTTAAATTTCAATCTTAATTTGAATCTCAATTTTTAATTATATATTTTTTATTTAATTTTTTGTTTGCTTATAGTTTAACTTTTTATTAAAAATATTATTTTTATATTTATAATTTAATTCATTAAATTTAGATTTTAAAATATAAATAATGGGCATTTTCATTATTTAATAATTTTATTTTATATTTATATAAAATGTTATATTATTTAAAATAAAATAATAAAAAAAAAACTTAGAAACTAAACAAAATTTTATATATTTTCTTAAATAAAAAAATAACTTTACATATATATTTAATTTAAATGTATAAAATTTAATATTTTTATACATTTTATTTATTTTATTAAAATAAAATAATTTGTTTGTTTGTTTTTTATTTATTTGTTAAATTCTATTAAATGATAAACAAAATAATTTAAAATCAATCTCCTTAAAATAATACACTTATTTAATTTGATGAACAAATATAAGCTTAAGAAATTAATTTTTAAAATAATTCTTATATTCAGAAATAATAAAATTAAGTTAATAAAGATACTATGAGTAAACTTTTAATTTTACTTACAAAATAAAATGAGTAATAAAATGAAAAAAAATTAAAAAAGTAATTATCATTTGATTATTTTGTCAATTGTTTTTTAAATAAGTAATTATATATATTCTTAAATATTGTTATAAATAAATTTATTATTATATTTGTTTAATTTTAGATAAAAATCTCCTTTAAATTAATCAAATAATAATATAAAGAATTAACTTTATTTTTCTAAAAATAAAGAATAAACTTAAGAAAATCAAATAAAAGATAGTTAATAACATTAAAAAATAAAAAATATTATAAACAAATAAGTTTAGTTTTCTCCTCAATATCAATAAAATAATTAACTTTTTTCAAATAGAAATTCATAAAAACCAATAAAAATAGAACAAAACATTTTCTTTTAAAAAATGAAAGAAAAACAATAGTAAAAAATAACTTTAAATAAATCTAATAAATCGTATTCACCTGAAAAAATTAAAGAATCTATTTTTTTTAAAAAAACCTTAATAATTAATAGAAAATGAATATTATTAATAGTCAGCTTTTTGTAGTTAACCTAATTCTACATAAAATAGGCTTTAAAAAAAAAAAAAAAAAAATTTAAATATGAAAAATGAAACTTTACAAAATATTGAAAATAATAAAAATATTTAAGAATGTTTAATAAAAATGTAATTAAAGGCTTAAAAAATATTATGTGATTATAAAGAAAGGGAAAGCTTATGTAAAAAAAAATAGAAACTATTAACTGAAGAAATACATTTTTTAAAAAAATTATTATATATAGATTAATTTGGTAAATTTTAATTTATTAAATATTAAAATTAATTATTTTAAATATAAAAAATATTATATATAAAAAGAAAAATAATAAAAAAAATTTATAAATATTTTATAAAAAATAAAAATAAAAAGAAAAAAAAAAAAATATTGTTTATTTACAACATATATAAAAATATAAATATAAAAAATTTAAAATAAAATTATATATATATATATATATATATATATAAATTATTTTAAATATAAATTTATATATATATATATAGTTTTATTATATTTATATATATTTTATATTTTATTTTTTCATTATATATTAATTTAGTTATCTGAATAATTTTCTTGTAAAAAATCACTATTTTAATTATCTATACTACTTTCATAATTTTATTCACTTGCTTTAGCATTTTTATTTCTAGTATTAATAATGTTTTCTTGAATTTAGCTGCTATCATTTTTATTATCATCTAATTCTACTGATGAGCTTTTGAGTTAAAGATCTTTATATTATTTTAATTTATAAATAAAAAAAATTATAACTTATTATATTTTCTGTATATTTATTTACATTTTAAATTAATTTCTTAATGCTTTAATTTTATATGTTATTATAAGGAACCTTCTGTTCTATATATTATTTAATTAATTAAAAAATAAATATATAACTATATAAATGTAAATAAAATAAAAATGAAAATATTTTTTATTTAACAGAATTTTTTTTTTACCCATATGATTTTTAACATTTTTATATAGGACAAGTAAATTATCTTTTTATTAAAGCTGCAGGTCTTCTAATTCGTTTTTATCTATCATCCGAAAATAAAGATTCGCCACAATTATTTTGAAAACTACATTTCTTTTTATATTTATATTTTTTTATTTAAATTATTATATTAATTATTTTTTATTTTGTTTAATATAAAAATAATTTACTTCTAGTTTTTATATTTTTGAGATTAGATCTTATTTATCTGATAGTAACTCTTTTAACTATTTATTTTAATATAATAAAATTCAAGTAAAAATTATAACTTTATAATTACCTAGTTTGTAAGTAATACATTAGCCAAATAAAGTTTACATGATTCTTAATAGTAATCAACATTATCATATTCTACTTTAAGTATTTTTTTAATAAATATGTATATTTAGATAAAAATATTAGTAATATACCTTAGTTTAAGTCTTAATCATGTTTTTAATCTATTTTTTATTTTTTAATTATAAATAAAAATTCGTAAAAACTCTTTTTATATTTTTTTTACTTTAATTTATCTTATCGTTCATTTTTTTTTAAGAGAATTGTGTTTATTTTTTTGTTATTATTTTTAATTAATTTTTGTTATTAAAAAAAATATTATAACAAATAATATTATTTAATAAAACATAAAAATAAATATATTACACATTATTTATAAATAATATTAATTATTAATATGAGTTTGTATAACTTTTTTATATTAATAGTTACAAATAAAATATAAATATATTATTGCATTATATTTAGATTTTTTTAACAAATTGAATATGTTTTTATAAGAATATAAAGCTTTTATCGATATAAATAGGAAATAAATCTATTTATTTATTGAATTGTATTTTACAATATATAATTTATTATTAAATTAATATCGTTAAAAAATTCCTTTCTTATAGTTAATTTTTTAAAAAATCTATTTTAATCTATAAAAAAAAGTAGTTCTAATATTATTTTTTAATTTTTAATTTATTTCAATGATTATTGAAAAAAATAATATTCGTGGTTAAAGAATATTATATTTATACTTTTTTATTAAATTAAAAACAAATTTTTAATTTAATTCATATTTAATTCTAAATATAAAAAATTAAATTTATATTATTATTGTATAATTAAAATAATACATTTATAAAAATTAAATATTTATAAAAATATATTTTTATATAAAATAAGTAATTTATTAATTATTATGTATTAATAATTAGTATTATATCTTCTTTAGTATTGTTTATTTATTTTCATAAATTATCGTTAAAAAATTTTTAAATATAAAATAAATTTTATAGGATAAATTATATATAAAATTAATTTATCAAAATATAATATACAGTATAAAAATAATATAAAAAAACTCCTTTAAATTATATAATATAAATATATATATATATGACTTTAGATGTTTAAATAAAATTTACATATATAAATCATTTACTATTATTTAAATTATTATTTTATAATTCAACTTAATTATTATATTTATTTAATTTTTATTATTCTTTAAAGATTTCATCGTAAAATTCAAGCTATTATTCATCAAAATTATTAATAATTTTTTCAATATAATTATCAGTTAGTATATCATGAATATCTTATAAATATGAAATTTATTAATCAGTACTATATGATTGTAACTTTTGAATTTCCTCATCATTAAATTAAGTTATCATTTATAATATATTTTCTTTTATATCCATTAAGTTAAAATAAAAGTTTCTTAATTCAAATTGTATTTAATCTATTAAATATGTATTATTTGTTATTATTTTAGAAGTTAAAGGATCCACTACTTAAAATTTAGATTACATAGGATTTTAAGTTGCAGGATAAAAAGGACTTTATTAATAAAATAAATTTTAATATATATTTTTTTTTATTATTAAACTTTTACCTTTTTCCATGACCTAATGAAATTCCAGTATTCTCAGGTTTGAATTTTTCGCCATAAAATTATAATAAATTTAACAAACTATTACAAAGTTTCAAATTATTAGATTTGTCGTATTCTTTCAAATAAGCAATTATCATTATTAATAAACAATAAGAACTTATTCCTCCTTTATAATTAATATTTAACTTTCTTACAGATAAAAATTGCTTTAAAATAATTGTAAGACCATGTAATTAAGGAAAATAAGAAAGCCATTTTTGTGCAAAATGTATTGATTAATGATTTATAGAAAAGTATTAATGGTCTTAAATCATTCCAATATTTCCCATTATTTATTATTCTATTGTAATATCGACTTTAAATTATTTATGAAGCAGATTTTGTAAAAAAAACTATTATTAAGGATTCAATAAATCGCTATTTTATAATATGTTTAATTAAAAATCAATATAAGGATCAACTTACTATTTTTATATAGTTTTTTTATATAAAAAATTATATTTTTTTTTTTACTAATTTTATAATTGGTATTGAAGCTGTAAATATGTTTTCTATTGAAATTATTGATTTAAATTATTTTAAACAATTGGATGTTTATTATAAAAATTATATCAATTGTGATTTCGTTTAAAATTAACATCCTATTATTCCTATATCAATATCACTTGTAGGAAGAGATAATCCTGTTGCACAAGAGCCATAAATAATAGCATCAAGAAATTTATTTTAAGCTTTTTTATATGATATATATTTTATATATTATATATATTATATTTATTATATTTACGGTTTTATGCTTTTATTATTATTTATATTTACTTAAATATTAAAATTCTTATGTCTTTTAATTACTCAGATTAACTAACAATTATATCTTGATAATTTTTAATATCTTAAGTAATTTTTTTTACAAATATTTTATGTGCTAAATTATATTTAAATTCTCTATTGAATATAGGTGAGTTATTAATTGATAAATTTTATTAAAAATTATAATTAGAATTAATAAAATTGTTGTTTTCTTATTATTTTTATGAATAACTATGGTAATTATTGTAATTTATATTTTAATCTTTATAAAAATAATAATATGAGCTTTTACCTTAATTACGTAAATTGCTTTACTTTTATTAATTTTAAAAATTTTAATGATAATAATTTAAATTTTATAATTAATTATATTATTATGCTTGTTCATTAATTTCTTAAATATTATTAATTTAGAATATATTAATATTATTATTGATAATAAAATTATTATTATAATTAGGATTATTATTATTAATATGATTATGATTATTATTATGATTATGATTATGATTATGATTATGATTATTATTATTATTATTATTATTATTATTATTATTATTATTTTCATTATTATTATTAATACTATTACTATTGTTATTCGTATTATTTTTTATAATATAATTATTGCTTAAATTATTATTTCTATTAATATTATATTTTATTCCTTCTAAATTTTCCTCAACTTATATTTCTATTTATTATTATTCTTATGACAATTTTTATATTTTTTATTAAATATAATTTTTAGATTAGCTTTATTGTTTTTAATAGTTTTCTTCTTTTGTTTGTGTTTTAATATTATTATCTTAATTTTCATTATAATATTTTGATTCATTTTATTATATAATTTCTTTATTTTACATTTTTTTATTTTTCTATTAATTCTCAAAACTTTTTTTTTTTTTTTATTTATCTTCTTACTTTGTAATTTATTGTTAATTATTTTTAATTTCGTTTTTATATTTATTATTTTGTTTGTATTTCTCATTTATTTTTTTATTGTTTTGTTATTATTTTTCTATTTCTAAGTTTTTGATATTATTTGTTTTTATTTTATAATTTTCTTCATTTTTTCTATTATTAAAATTTCTTTTATTATATTTTTTTTCTTTTTTATTTTAAGCTTTTACTTCTATAAATCCATCATTAATATTATTTAATTCATTTTCTTCATTATATTCAATTATTTTGATTAGAATGATTTTTTATTCTGATTTTTCATCTTTTTATTCTTCTTCCTTTTGTTCTTCTTTTTTATTTATTTTTGAATTTGTTTATTATTTTATAAGTGCTTTTTCTAAATTAATGCTTTCCTCTTCATCTGTTAATTAATTTAAACCTTTACTTTTCTTTTTTTATTATTATATATTATTTTCTAATTTGTTTTTTGTTTTTTCAAAATAACTTTTTGATATTAATTTTCTTCAAAGAAATTAGATTCTCGAGTTGTATTTACTGAAAACTCTTTGCTTTTTTAATTTCCGTCATTTTCTGAATCACTATTTTTGCTAATTTATTAATGTATTTAGTTTGTTTTATTTTAATTTTAAACATTTTCAATTTCTTCTTCATCTTCATTTTCTTCTTTTTAACTTTTTTTATACTTTCATCATTTTTATTAAATTCTTTTTTTCTTTTTAGTTTTTATTTCTTATTTTTCTTTTTTTTCTTCTTCTTTTCTAAAAAATTAATTTATTAATTTATTAATTCATTCGCTAGTTTTTACGAATGCTAATCTTTAACTAATTCTTTTATTTTTTTTAGTATAATTATCTCGAATATATTTATAGATTCTTCGAATTTTGGAAAATAAAGTTTTTGTAAAAAAATTTCACTATTTTCATCTTATGTATATTAAGAAAAGTTATTTAATAAATTTTAATCACTTTTTTCTTTTAATTATTATATTGTATATAAGTCTTTAAAATATTTGTATATTTCTCCTAAATTTATTAAATTAACTTAATTTTATTCAAAGCTTTATATTAGTTAATTTTTTATATTTGTGCATTAATTTAAAACCTTATATTTATATTTTAATATTAAAAATATATAAACATATATTATGTTTTACATTTGCTTTTATTTTTTTATCTAAAGTTTACCAAAAAGATTTTATGTCTTAATAAGTTTTTTTATATTCTTAAAATTTTTAACTAAAATAAAAATTATGATGTATATTAAATAAATATAAATAGTTAATTTTTAAAAATTAGATTTTTGTATTTTATAAAAATTCAATCGATTAAAAAAAATGAGAATTATATATTAAATAAATATTTTTATGTAAAATAGATATAAAAGAAATATTAAAGATAAAAAAAAAGTTAATATATATATATATATATATATATATATATATATATATAAATATATATATATATATGTATATATATATATATATATATATATATACTTTTTCAAAATATTACAATTTTTTAACTATTCACTTTTTTGTTAATTTAATTCTTTTAATATTTCTTAATTTTCATTTAAAATTGTTTCTTAGATTAATAACTCATTTCTTTAAATTCTATCTAACTTTTTGTTATATTCTCGATATCTTTTTTTTTATAAATTATAAGAAAAATAAATCTTTTATATTTTAATATAAATATACTTATGCTAAATTGCCTTTTCAAAGGAACTTACTATCCATTTTTGAATTGTTTAAAATGAAAAAGGGTTAAACCAACTATAATCACAATTTTACTAAGAAGTAATAAAAATACAGTTATCAGATATTTACTCAAATATATCTAATACATTATCAATATTTTATAAAAACTATTCGTCTAATATTAAAGTATCATATACTTCTTGATCATC